TGTGTAAAGGTAGGACATGCGTACCCTATCCAAGAACACCTACTGTCTCCTGAGCTGTAGTGATCCCTGTATATAGTTTTTACCGTTATCTGTGCTGTAACGTCTAACGGGATCTGTGTCAATGACAGTCGAGGCTCATTATTCTTTGTTACTGACGTTTTTGTATCCACTGGGCAAAGATTGTTCGGGATAGTAAATGTTTTGGGGAATATGGTTTGCAGTGAAGACTCAGCACACAATGCCATGAAGATATTCACAATTCCTACTGTTTTGTTTGGTATATATAGTATTATCGATATACCTTGTAATACTGCGTGAACAGAGAAACCAAGACAGTTGCTCGTCAATGGTATAGCATTTTTTAACTGACAACGGGAGGCCAAACGATTCTCTGACATCTGAAACTTAACATATTTCCTCCACAGCTGGTGCAATATTATTATTTGTCATTCAATTGTCGAGAGCAGGTTAATTTTTAGAAACATTAAACGATTGGCAACCCACCTGAAGGCAAAAAAACCGAACCGATTTTCAGACTGGAACACTCTAGGACCTTATTAATGTCACATTTGACACACTTGGTAGAAGGACTCTTCAAGATGTCCCAGAATCTAATTTTACGATTATACTTCGATTTTCAAACCCGGGTTTCCAGGAACTGTTCCATACTGAGCCCCAGCTGGTGACTGTCACTGTCTCCATCCAGGAATTGTCATACTGATTTTGGTACATATAACAAGCTCTTTCTTATCATTTCTGTTTATTATTGCTGATATAAAGCAGCTGACATGCGAATCGCAAGCAAGTAGTCAGGTTTGAAAAGCAGAATGAAGAGAAAACTGGTTCTCGTCGCTGTTTCTTTTTGTACTGAAACATTTTAAGCAATTTAATGGAAGTTTTTCACCCACTTTTATGCCTATTTTCCTCCCGTCATGAAATGCCTTCAGAGACAAAGTGGGTGTTCAGTGGAAGTCGAGGTCGAGATGCAGGTTGCACCTGGTGTACTAGACAACTAAAGTTTATAGCCACTCTCTCCGGCACCAAGGAACACTAGCTATCATTTGAAAAGGCTAATGAATTAGGTATTTATTGGTCTGGCCTTTAGACCACGATTGAATTAATCTTCAACAATAACATGCACCAGCCGTCTGACATAATACCTGCACCTGCTATCACGAGTAGGGGCTGAATTCTACTCTTTTTAAATTAAATGTAATTGAAACAAAACCCAACGCCATTATCGCTTTAGCATACCACAACTTATAGATCTACGTAGGTTAGCTATTTACGTAAAATTAAAATGAAATATATTTTATACAGGAACGAACTGTTTCTTACTTACTCATTTAATTAATCAAATAATTACTTTGTCTATGAGAAAAGTGATCATTGAAACTACTGCACTTAATTGTCAGGCAGAGAGAAACGTTTCAACTACTCAAAACAACACAGCTGCGAACTGTTTGGTGAGTGAGTGAGTTTAGTTTTACGCCGCACTCAACGATATTCCAGCTATATGAAGGCGGTCTGTAAATAATCGAGTCTGGACCAGACAATCCAGTGATCAACAGCGTGAGCATCGATCTGTGCAAATGGGATACGATGATTGGTTACTGTTAACCAAGTCAGCGAGCCTGACCACCGAATCCCGTTAGTCTCTGTTAGTCGCCTCTTACGACAAGCATGGGTTACTGAAGATCAATTCTAACCCGGACCTTCACGGGTCACTTCAATTTAACATGAAGACAGCTGAGAACATAATATAAACACAATTGGAAATACATGACATAATCCCCTATCCGCTCCAGTCACTATATTACGTAAATGACTGACATTTAATTATGGCAGGTGACACTTTCCGATAACATCACACTCTATATATATATACCATTGCTAAGAGAGTTTCTAATCATCTTTTTTCCTGATTTTAAAGGTTCATTAGTCACGTTATATTCCCTAGTACATGTAGGTAATATTTCATACATTACATTATTGTCGCCTTTAACGACAAACATGGGTTACTGAAGATCAATTCTAACCCGGATCTTCACGGGTCTCGAACTGTTTGGGAGTACGTTATTTGCACACAAGCGGCACACACAATCTTCACACAATGTTATATCATATGTGATCAGTGTTGTATATAATGTATATTCTGGTGTTGAGATTCTACATGCGTATGAAAGACACAAGTCATATCATTGTTAAATGCAAGTTTATAATGACACATAAACTAAACATGTTGTATCGTGTTATATCGTGTTATATCGTGTTATATCGTTGTTATATATTATGTATATCCTGATATGGAGTCACACACATGTACAAAAGGCACATGTTTTAACGTGTTATACGTCGTTATATATATTGTATATTTGGTATTGAGATAACACGCACACACGTCCAAAAGGAACATGTTATATCGTTATATCATTGTTATATATGATGTATATCCTGGTATGCAGGTCGGATACACACACGTCCAAAAGGAACATGTTATATCGTTATATCATTGTTATATATGATGTATATCCTGGTATGCAGGTCGGATACACACACGTCCAAAAGGAACATGTTATATCGTGTTATATCATTGTTATATATAATGTATATCCTGGTATGCAGGTCGGATACACACACGTCCAAAAAAACATGTTATATCGTGTTATATCATTGTTATATATAATGTATATCCTGGTATGCAGGTCGGATACACACACGTCCCAAAAACATGTTATATCGTGTTATATCATTGTTATATATAATGTATACCCTGGTATGCAGGTCGGATACACACACGTCCAAAAGGAACATGTTATATCGTGTTATATCATTGTTATATATAATGTATATCCTGGTATGCAGGTCAGATACACACACGTCCAAAAGACACATGTGATATGATGTCACAGTATGTGTGTTCTCGTATTGAACTTACACGGAGCTCAATGTTCCTGCTACTGAGATAATGTCTCCTATGGCGGTATGCATACCATGCCACGTACGCTATATGTGTACTATATATTCATTCTGGGGAAACTTCACAAATTGTTTTACACATCGTATCACAGCCTGGGTCCATCTCCAAATGTCAAATATTTCTTTTAATATACATAGCATTTTCGATTTGTTAGTTGAGAGAAACGGTTGACTTTTACCATGCACCAGAAGGTGTATAAAAATGTATTTTTGCGAGATTTTTAGTACACAATGAAAGTCTATTTCTTCATTCTTTTTTTACATTTTTTAAGAATTGAAGATTAACAGTTAATATTGTAGATACATTTTAAAACAACTCTGCAGAAATAACTGTTGTTTCCTTTGTAACTAACGTCACTACAAAAGCTTTGACAAAAAGGTCCATTTTCCTTTAAAGATACGATCTAATGTATAAATAGACATTAAGATTGCTGTCGCGATGGCTCACTTAGTTAAAGTACTTCCTTGTGAATCGTTTAAACGTGGATTGATAAACATCAGGCACATCTTTGTATCGGGTGCAGGACTATTTGATCTAGGAAACACTCTGAATACACACATAAGTGGCAAGAAGCGACTGGGTTGGCTGTCATCACCATAGTGACTGTGACTGTAGAGGGCTGACAGCAGGACCTCATTTGGGAGCAGTAGGGCAGAAGCAGCGACGTTTGCGTCGAAGCTAAATCCCTTTCCGTATTGCCGGTTGGTAGAATAGTGGTTAAAGCGTTCGCTCGTCACCCGGGTTCGATTCCCACATGGGTACAATGTGTGAAGCCTGTTTCTGGTTTCACACGATATTGATGGACTATTGCTAAAAGCGGCGTAAAACCACATTCACTCATTCATTTTCCTATTTCCCAGCGTAAAATATCGCATTACGGTTCGTGTCACATATCTTTGTCAACTTGTGTGTATCCTCAAAAACGCGAAAGTAGATGAACCGGTGCCACCAAAACAAACATGTAGCCAAGTGGTTAACGCTTTGGCCAGTGTAGACCCCAGTCGATTCTCCATATGGTTAAGATGTTTGAAACCCGTTTCGAGACATTTCTGCCATATTGCTAAAATCACCCACAAGCTCTCACCCTCCCGCTCGACACAAGACAACCCCCAAAAAAAAAAAAAAATAAATAAAAAAATAAATAAAATAAAATAAAATAAAATAAAATAAAATAATAAATTAATAAATAAATAAAATAAATAAATACAAACTACAAAGAAACATAGAACAAGAAAGCTAAAACAGAAGAGACACCCAATTAACATAACGACACCTACACACTCACCCACTCATTATAATTATGAGTATAATGATTTTCTTAAATAACCCTTCCTGCAGTGTCTGTAATCGATGAATTCAGAAAGCAAGTATGAAATACGGTAAAATATTTAAAAGAATACAACAAAAAATCCGTGATGACAAAGAAACTAAATGATAACATTCGAAACTGTAAAGACCCGTACCGCTCGGTTTCCTTGCATAATTGATACCTTCAATGAAGCCACGACACCCAGCTGTAGTGATTGAGAGATTTAATCAATAGTTACAGCTCACAAAAAAGGTTTTGGCCCCGTGTATGTTGAGATGGTTCTGACACTGATGTGCGCTGGCGCTGGGCTAATCAGTTTTAAACATATGAAAGCTTAGGAGAGTCCTCAAGTCAATATACAGAATATCCTTGACAAACTGGGTACCTTGGTCGCAGCAAACTAAGACAAGTGGACAGTTGAGTTAATTTGATAAATTGTGACGGTATTTCCTCCAGTTAGGCTGACGGAGGGACGACGTCATTCTCTGTTGTTACGACTTCTCCGACTGCCCACAGTTTACACCGCTGTGTCTGAAGCTGACACTTGTCGCGGTCTTATCACATCGAGTTTAGTCAGCAAGTAGGATGAAGACACCATGACAGTCTCCCTCACTGTCTGTCCGGAGCCACTTACCTCCAAGCAGGCTCGTAGTCTTTAATTTCATTTTGGTCCGATCTGATTCAATTCTGTTCTCAGGTTGAAGCTAGCTTACATTAACAGCCTCTATTTTAATGGCCATTTCAGTATCTCTCGCTGGGCCGTGTTTGAGGACAGGAAGAAGTGTAACGCAGTTTTCTACAAAATGCCATCGTGTCGTCTGCTCTGTCTTCTGCTTCTCCCGCTGTTGGCTGTCAGCGCGTCAAACGACCTAGAGGAAGACTATGTGCCACAGGTAACCTCCATACCACAACATTACATCCTCGTACTTTTGCAACTCTTTATTCAGTCGGATTCCTACAATGGACTCCGGAGATTTCCTTTCATTTTGAAAATAATTTGTTCAACCGTAAGGCAAAACTCTCTGAGAATCGTAAATACAGCTTCGAAAACCGAATCAGCTATAGGTTGTTCTGATCGTGCATAGGATATCTTATGGTGGTGATGCTAATAAAATGTCTCCGTGGTCCCTATTTCATGCCAGCCCTGACGTGAGAAAGCATTTACGTACTAGACTTGTGCTCGAAGCTTGGGCTTAGGTTTGGGTAAATGTTGCCACCAACGTGAATATTTCTACATTCTACCTATTTCTGTGTATTTCAGAGCAAATCACCCGATTCCCACATTTTGTCGGAACCACTGTCCCTACCCCCTGATAGTCGCCTCATGGATGGGCGGTTAAACGTGCCCCGAGTTTGGGCTAACCTGTTCGACAGACTGTCCAGCGAGTCCTCAGGTCAAGTCAGGACATCCGATGCTCAAACGAAACGCGTCTTCTGCAACGGCTTCACCGGATGTGGCGGAAGGTTACGGGGCAGGAGGGCAGGTCCTGATGTAGGTGGATGCCTCTTTTGTGTATATTTTGTCTATAATGACGAACTATAAACGTCTTAAACATATGCATTTAACCTTGGGGTATATATTACCAACCCCGTGTATATAGAACTATAGCTGCCATGGTGTTTTATCTTAATATTTGGGTTTGTTTGTTGTTTAATGGCTTACTCAGGAATATTCCACCTATATGACGGCGGATACCATACAATCTAATAATTAATACCATTGATCAAAGCAATAGGTCTAAGCTGACCGGCATCAACCAGGTCGGCTAGCCTGACCACCTTATCACGTTGGTCGCCGCTTTGTACTAAGCATTGTTGCTTGAGATCAGTTCAAGTCCGAATCTCCTTGTCCAACACGTCTGTTTCTGTTTATTACAGAGCATATCATGTCTGTTTCTGTTTATTACAGAGCATATCATGTCTGTTTCTGTTTATTACAGAGCATATCATGTCTGTTTCTGTTTCTTACAGAACAAATCACCCGAGTCCCACATTTTGCCGGAACCACTGTCCCTACCCCCCGAGAACCGCCTCGTGGATGCGCGGTTAAACGTGCCCCAAGTGTGGGCTAATCTGTTCGACAGACTGTCCAGCGACTCTTCAGATCAGGGTAGGACACTTGGGAACTCCGACGCTCTTACGAAACGTGTCTTCTGCAACGGCTTCACCGGATGTGGCGGAAGGTTCCGGGGCAGAAGGCGACAGCATCCTCCAGTCCTCGGCAAGCGGCCATTTTGTAATTACTTCGGCTGTGGGAATGCTGGGAAACGTTCCGAGCCTCCGACGAAAGCTGTGGCCCAGCGCCTGATGAGACTACCGGATGTCATCAGGAAGAGGCTCTTCTGTAACGGCTTCGACGGCTGTCGGGGCGGCAAGAGGGCGCTGTACTCCAACTGGTTGTCCAAGCTCCAGGGCATCGCCGATGACCTCTAAATCATGGAGAACCCAATAAGGTAACTATCTAACAAAGGATTCAACTATTTACCTATGATCACGGAGAACCCGAACCTACTTATGTAATTATTGAACATAGGATTCACTATTTACCTCAACATCAAGATGGATATAAATTTGGCAAAGACACAAGAGCATATTTAAATGTTCTTCTAGATGAAGAAGAACAAATTCAAACAATTACTATAAATAATCACCTTTGGCGAGAAGGGATCTAAACATTTACCTCTAGTTTGAGGAGGACACATGAAGGTAATGATCACTGTGACAAAGGAATCGATCATTTACCTTCTTTTGTCCCCAAAGGATCTGTAGTCATGACGATTCCGTCTCATATACTTTGTGATATGGGACTCCGGGTGCTGAGTGGGTTGAGGCTTACCTACCTTCACCAGTTGTCCCTGGATCACCTGGCTGTGGGTCTGGATCTCACATTACTATTGATCCTAGGTCGCACACCATTTCGCTCATGGAATTCACCAAAGTGGCATGATAAGTGACAGGAGCCTCCATGAGGCTTTGGTATAACATCTAAATAATTCACTATGGAGATATTGGGACGAATCAAAGGTAGTCGTGTAAAGGCAGTAGAGATCTTGGGGAAAACAAAGATAGTCGTCGTTAAGATGTAGTATAAATTGGAAGAAACCAACGGTAGTCGTATAGAAGTAGTATGTATATTGGGAGAAACTAAAGGATGCGGTGTAAAGAGTGCTGAAGATACATATATTTGAGAAAAACAAAGTCAGTAGTCAAGAAGTGGTATGTGGAAAAACAATGGCAACCGTGCAGAATCAGTAGATACGTTTGAGGAATTATTTTGTGATTGCACACTGATACATAAATGAATGTCCAGACAAACGTGCACTACGAGTGAAAGAGGAGGGGAATATGAGACATATTTGCGCCCGTGCATGTACATATAAACCTCAAGTTTCATGTGGGTTTAGATCGTGACTGAAATATTTGTGCCATCAACGGCTTGATTGTCTGTTGGGCGCATTGACTATACAGGAACTGCCCACGATGAAGATGAGGGACGGGGATCGGTATGACAAGGTGCTTGAAAGAATTTATGTGACAGGAGGCTTTATACAACAAGGAGGTTTAACCTCAGAGACACCTGATGTATGTCTGACCAATTGGATTTGTCTGTTATTTTCTTTAAGTGCTAACAATCACTAGCTAACAGAAGTGGATGCTTTCTGAACCTTGAGGGGTGTTGGGAAATGGTTTGGAAATCGACCATCTATCAAAGTTAATAGGGTTTGGTCATTTGTGTATTTGGACATATTATGTTTGCGTCATAGTATATTTTTAGCACCCTTATTATTCTGTTTGTTGTTGAAGGAATCAAGAACAGTATGTCCAACGTACTTTGCATGAAAAATTGTTCAGGACACGTTTGAATAATTTAGTTAGGAAAGTGTATTATATGAAGCGATGCGACAAAAATAGTGCACAATATATGTCTTTTACTGTAGTTTATTGTTACCCAAACAGGTTCCGATTATTGGAAGTCATAGCTTTAGTAAATATCACGGCGACAAATCATGGTTGACTCAAAAGCAAACTCAAATAGCGGAAACACGTGTTCCGTGTGCAGACAAAGTTTCACAAATCTAACTTTTGTTGCATACGTCAGCTGTGCGTCCTATGTAAACTATTTTTTCTTTCTTGAAATGCACTATACTGACACTGCTTGATCGCTACAACCCGCAATGTTCTCATAATAGCATTATAAATATATGGAAGCTCAGTTTGATATTTTTACGCGTAATAATCCAGATTTACCGTCGCTATTGATTGGCTGGGTGCAAAACCTCATCATCAGTGCATTAAACCAGCAGTGGTATATCCATCCTCGTATCAAGTCTTCAAAAAGACCATTTGCCTTGTTTTATAGAAGCCATATATTGACTTAGATGTACAGCTGATTGGCATAAATTCTTTAAGTCCATAATAGACGACTTTCCCATTAGTGAAAGTCTACGTATATAACAGCACTGCTGAGAGAAATACGTTCACAGTCTAAAACTGGAAAAGGTGACCTTCAATAAATATATTTATTTCGTTTTTGATACGATAAATAATTACCGGTAACAAATAGAATATTCAGATAATTCTGACAGGATGATTTATCAAACATCGCAGCTTTTAACCCGTGTTATTCTTGGCAATTATGAATACTTTATCCACGCAGACGAATGTTTTCATAGCTCCACTCATGTTGAAAGTAAATAGCATAAAGAGCTTACGTGCCATGCAAATATTTTATTATATTTATATATCATGAAGCATCATATTGAACCACGGTAAAATTCCCGATGCAGCCTTAAACACATTTCACTCATTGATTATGTAAACGAATGCCAGATGCGGCTGCAACGTTATTTTGATATTTATCACATTTGTGCAAAATGCTTCGTTAACTTCAGATACTTATAGTGCTACGTCGCCGGATGTCACATGTAATAGTCTATACTTAGCGGATATCAATGAAATTATTCTACCAAATTTCCTGTCCCGTTGCCATGGTTTCCTTTGTTGAACGTATGTGAAGTGTTGATGTAAAGTGATATTTCCGGAGGAAGTGAGTGGTATATTTTACTGACCACGTAAAACAGCACAGTACATGGGTGTTTCCGCACTAGATAGTCTGAAGATACTGGTATAAAGATAGGCACGTAATGGACAACAAAACACACACCTCACACATCTTTAGTTTGATGGTTTTCTCGTCGTTTGCGTGGTAATTTCGACTTAACTTTGCGTTATTCGATAGTCAACGGCGGCACAAATACTAACTTTCGAGCGCAAGCCAAACTATCAGTTAAAACTTCTTCACATATTCTCCGCTTATGGGATCTTGAAACCTTTATATAACTTGTTGTTTAGACAAATTATAGTCGTCACCGTCATCAAATTCAGTACGAACACTTGACTTACAAAATCTTCCCGGCACTCATCAGAGTGCATCTTGGACCGCTACCCAGAAAGTGAATAGTGTGCAGTGCCCAGAGTCAATGTGCTTAGTAAGGGCCCATCAAAACATTTGTTTGGCCCTTTATGTGCATTTCATATTTTCAAGCACTTGCCGGCACCTACTTGAACAGTTTACCTGCTCCTGTTCGGATGCCGAAAAGTTTGAAGGTCTTAACGTATGGGTGCAAATTTAAATTAAGCAGAAAGAAAATTTGGATACGAAACGAAATGAGATTTTTAAATGTCAACTCGACAGGACGTGGTCGTGAGGATCCTCGGCTATGTCCACAACTGTGAGGATATCGACCGATACAGCTCGGAAAGTGTTGGCATATCTCCCGCAGATATCAGGAAATATGGACATTGTAATTAATATATATATACCAGTCTACATGGACGTATACCACATCTATATGTCAACCTACCCCATGTCTATATACCAGTCTACCTGAGCGTCTACCCATGTCTATATACCAGTCTACCTGCGCGTCTACCCCATGCCTATATACCAGTCTACCCGAGCGTCTATCTCATACCTATATACCAGTCTACCCGAGCGTCTACCCCATGTCTATATACCTGTCTAACTGAGCGTCTACCCCATACCTATTTACCAGTCTAACTGAGCGTCTACCCCATACCTATATACCAGTCTACCCGAGCGTCTACCCCATGCCTATATACCAGTTTACCTGATCGTCTATCTCATACCTATATACCTGTCTACCTTAGCGTCTACCCCATACCTATATACCAGTCTACCTGAGCGTCTACCCCATGCCTATATACCAGTCTACCACCTACCTGAGCGTCTACCCCATGCCTATATACCAGTCTACCTGAGCGTCTACCCCATACCTATATACCAGTCTACCTGAGCGTCTACCCCATACCTATATACCAGTCTACCTGAGCGTCTATCTCATACCCATACCTGAGCGTCTAACCCATATATACCAGTCTATACCAGTCTACCTGAGCGTCTACCCCATACCTATATACCAGTCTACCTGAGCGTCTACCCCATACCTATATACCAGTCTACCTGAGCGTCTACCCCATACCTATATACCAGTCTACCTGAGCGTCTAACCCATACCTCTATACCAGTCTACCATACCTATATACCTGTCTACCTGAGCGTCTACCCTATACCTATATACCAGTCTACCCGAGGCGTCTATCTCATACCTATATACCAGTCTACCTGTCCCACCACATACCTATATACCAGTCTACCCGTATACCCCATGCCTATATACCAGTCTACCTGAGCGTCTATACCTATATACCAGTCTACCCTGAGCGTCTACCCCATACCTATATACCAGTCTACCTGAGCGTCTACCCCTATATACCTATATACCTCAGCAGTCTACCATACCTATATACCAGTCTACCTGAGCGTCTACCCCCTCCCATACCTATATACCAGTCTCTACCCCTGCCTATATACCAGTCTACCTAAGCGTCTACCCCATACCTATATACCAGTCCTACCTGATACCCATATACCAGTCTACCTACCTGTCAGCGTCTATATACCAGTCTACCTATGAGCGTCTACCATACCTATATACCTGAAGTCCAGCGTCTACCATACCTATATACCAGTCTACCTGAGCGTCTACCCCATACCTATATACCAGTCTACCTGAGCGTCTACCCCATACCTATATACCAGTCTACCTGAGCGTCTACCCCATACCTATATACCAGTCTACCATACCTATATACCAGTCTACCTGAGCGTCTACCCCATACCTATATACCAGTCTACCTGAGCGTCTACCCCATACCTATATACCAGTCTACCTGAGCGTCTACCCCATACCTATATACCAGTCTACCTAAGCGTCTACCCCATACCTATATACCAGTCTACCTGAGCGTTGCACATCTCATATAACAGGCAGTATGAACATAAGACATCTACATATGTCACACGACATGGAACGTATGTATATACAAGGGGAAGTAGGATGTCAGGCAGCCTCCTAACCAGGCAGTGTGAACAGCTACATATATCCGACTACGTGGACGGATGAAAGCTCCCTATACGGGGCTACACCTTCCAAAGTCCTCCCACCTTTCTCTCTTGTATCGCTTTCGAGTTAGATTGTATCTTACGTTTACGGGTAATATGTACACCAATATTGAACGACATTATTAGCCAAATCGATTGAAACAATATCTGTTTCTCCCCTGAGTTTAGTGACAGCGAGTGACAAACTGTTGATCAAATATAAGATACCTGTATGCAAATAGCAAACAGTGTCAGGAAGCAGTCTTGGTACGATCGCAAGGCTCATTATTTCAACAGGTAACGTGGCCGCGTCAATCCAACTGAGACCCCGGGCTATACCCAGTTAAAGTGTGATGAATAATTAATGATGAATAATGTCATATTTATCTAACTAGAACCGTATGGCGAGACAAATAAACGTTGTGATGTAGATAACGAGAATAAGTTATGCAGATGGAGGTTCTCTCACAATTAAGGGGAATTGGATTTACAACATTTGGCGTCCATACCCGGTTTGACTCTTACCCTTCAGATACCAGAATGTTTGTCTTCCACCTCTGTGATATGATGGACATTGATATGAAACTTAATTCTGAGCTCGTTACACACGGACACGATGTTCGTGTCCCTCCAGGCAGGATAGTCAATGTCTAGAAAGATGATAGTTAATGAGAGCGAGGAGAAAAGACTGATTAGCGCATAAATGCTTGTTTACTACCGACTAACCAACTGGGCAGTGCATATTAAAAGTAAGAAATAGAACATTATTTCCCCAAAGGACGAAATATGAGAACGGATCACTTTCTGTTATAAAATTCCAGGGAAATTTGGGAAAGCGCAGGAAAATGGATTTCCCAGATATGAACTGAAATCGATATTACACTCAAACATAGTAGACAATTTGAGTTTGGTGAATAGATAACTTAAGGTGTTTGGGCTTTTATATTTTAAAAATGCAGCTAAGTTAAAAATTTAGCTGTTTCAAATTGTCAAACTCAGTTTGAAATTAGAGTAAAAACTTAAGTTTGTTTCGAGAAATTATTTATCTACATCCCCTATGAAAATCAATTCCTGGAGAACTCTTAAGTGAAATGTTTCGTCTCATTTTATCTTGACATCTGCATTTATTGGTTTGAATCATAAACATTCAAGTGTTGAAATAGATATAGTCTAGTGCACGTGATCTGCGCACACCTGGCACCTTTCAAAATAGTTGATGTTTTCCTACTTTCGATCTTTTAACAGGAAAAGGGACCATGTCATGTCGTCGGTCCAGGTAAAATATTATTTTACGTGTCCACTTGTTATGTATTCTGTTTAATCCTACAACACATAGGATGAAATATATAACTTTGTGACAATGTGATAATTAAACAATCTCAGTGAAATCAGATCTTAGCTTTCGCTGCCTCTAACTAAAATCCCAGGATATCACGGTTTTAGAATTTAGAGTGAAAATAAAATTCTGGGATCATAGGTTTCTGGTACGCCCAAGGGACACAACTCTGCACAGCCAACCGTAGTGTCTTAGTTGACAGAGGGTAAAGATTCCAAGCCAGTTATTCCGCCTTTATCCCACTACTACATTTCTAGATCGCCTCCTTCACTTACCCACTCCCCGCCTGTATGATTATCATTCACCCTTTACTTCATCCTACAGTACTAAAGCTTCTCTATTTGGGTTACCTCCCCTGAGAGTTTCTGGTTAGAACGGTCTGAGTCTTTACATCATATCTGAACTTATCAACCTCTTTTCTATTGTTGTGGAACAACGCTATGACAAAAGTCATATGGCGGAACCGTGAATATACAAGGACAGACAACAATTGTCACCAAGATGACGACCAAGGTGTGCCTCATGTCCGCTGGGAGTATGTATCTAAGCTTATCAATCAGCAGAAGAACTCTCCTGGAGCTGTAATAATCTTTTCAGGACAAATCAATAATTCAACACATTAACATGCTTGTATTGATGCCTGGAAGAGATTTGGACACCTTCCCCGTTTGAAAATCAATACTCCGTGGGGTAGCTGTCACCAGCAAATCATCGAAGTCGGAGGCATTTAGCCCGGTACTGTTGTGGCCTCAGAAATATGGCGGTAATGTTCCTTTAAAGATTCGACACGTGAATTATTCAGCCGAACGGAACATATCTCTCTCATGATAATGGCTAATTTACAAACTGATGTGTACGGGACCCAGCAACGTGTTCTCTGTCGTTCAGAGTCCGATAACACTACGTGACATATGCTTGACCGAAACACCCTGGAGTGAGAGACACACTTTAGTCCAGCAGCACTTTGCCTCTGCGACTTTTACAAAACGGCTCTTGTCATCGTTTTTTTGCCCATTATGCTGAGTTATTTTAGGTATACATTCTTGTGGTTACAACACGCCCCATGTAATTACTTCCGCTGCCTTCCTATAAACCTAGTATTGACGCTATCCTTTACACGAAGTGGTGAGTGTAGGTCTGCATGACTGTTGTTGTGTCAAGCTATAACCAAAGCCCGCCTTGGTTATTACTGCTGTGCATTCCCGCACCTTACCAACTTACCCGACACTGACCCTGGATGACCATCTGACCCTGTTAAAATTTCAATCGGGTGCGATGACATTAAACTTTGCCCTAATGTGCTTGTAGGAGTAATATTTGGTGTACTTCTTGTTTGTCGTGATTCTGATATTGCTTATTACATTTCAGGTGCTGTGTTAAACAAATATAGCGCTGAGAGAAAAGTGACGTCACCATCTATAACAGAATTATCTCCCTTCCGCGTCAGTCTTCATCATCCTGTCAACGTCATTCTTGTTTTGTAGCACATGCCTCTTCTGTGAATCATAATGACGTCACCTCATTGTACACTGACCTGGATGACGTCACTTTTCGGGTCAATGGTCAAAAAGTGCGTGAGGTGAAGGGCATATGCCATCAGACTGAAGCAAGATGGAGTAACTTTTTGACCATTGACCTTCATGATGACGTCACCCTGAAACATCTTCTGTCGGAGCAGGAGCGCTTTAGGAACCGTTGGTGCCGGAAACTTAACACACAGGAAATAGTTTACTATGGAATTAAAGGACCCCTGATAATCTCGCTCGTATAGTGAGTTGATAAGAGAATAAAGATGACGTCATTAGTTGCAGCAGATTGGCTCTTGCTGGACTTGCTGCTTAGCGTATTCTCCTGGTATTCTCTTAACAATGTTCGTGTCTGCATCTCCCTCAAGAAGAAGGATAGAGAGAGGTCTCCCTCCAGCAATAAGTCCTTCCTGTGATGAAACATGTCCTGTATCATGTCTAGTGTTGCCATTCTATCAAACTCGCATCTGTTACAGCCGAATTGCAAGGACTAACCCTGATTAATACTGGTGTTTAAGTAAGACTATAGTAACTATTTAGTAACATATAAAATACAAAAAGGTAATAATGCAATGTACAGTGTCTCGTTGTATGAGAACGTTGATTCACTTCAGAATATATACATATACACTGTATATATATTGTGATGAGCAAACCGTGTATAAAGATGAGAATAAATATCATTCCAAAAGACAGGATCCGTTTGTTTATTGTCGGGTGTTATCCGTGACGTCATCCCGCGACGGCGGCGACTGTAGCCGGTTCAGCAGCACGCTTCCCTCGACCAGCAGCGAAGCGAACGTATCATCACGTGTACCATCAACCGAGGCTACATGGGGCCACTTGGCCACCTTGCCGAAAATTGGTTCATGGGTCGTGCAGCTGCACAAAGTCAGATCATGTGCCTTGAAGCTGCACACACGGTCATGCCATGTGCCTTGAAGCTGAACAAGGTCAGGTCTGGTGCCTTGAAGCTGCACAAGGTCATGCCATGTGCCTTGAAGCTGCACAAGGTCAGGTCATGTGTCTTGAAGCTGCAAACAAGGTAAGGTCATGTGTCCTGCAGCTGCACAAAGTCAGGTCTTGTGTCTTGAAGCACAAGGTGTCATGTGCCTTGAAGCTGCACACGGTAATGCCATGTGTGCACAAGGTCAGGTCTTGTGCCTTGAAGCTGCAAACAAGGTCAGGTCATCAGCTGCACGAGAAGGTCATGTGTCAGGTCATGTGCCTTGAAGCTGCACACAGGTCATGTGCCTTGAAGGACATGTGCCATGTGTCTTAAAGCTGCACACAAGGTCAGGTCATGTGCCTGAAGCTGAAAACAAACAAGGTCAGGTCATGTGTCCTGCAGCTGCAGGTCATGTGCCTTGAACACATAAGGTCAGGTCATGTGTCCTGCAGCTGCACAAGGTCAGGACATGTGCCTTGAAACTGCACACAAGGTCAGGTCATGTGCCTTGAAACTGCACACAAGGTCAGGCCATGTGCCTTGAAACTGCACACAAGGTCAGGCCATGTGCCTAGGTCAAGGTCCATGTGCCTTGAAACTGCACACAAGGTCAGGCCATGTGCCTTGAAACTGCACACAAGGTCAGGTCATGTGCCTTGAAACTGCACACAAGGTCAGGCCATGTGCCTTGAAACTGCACACAAGGTCAGGTCATGTGCCTTGCAGACGCACAAATGCGGTTGCAATTTTAGGGATCAGTTTGTTTTAGCGACGTGTTCAGTTTCAGCAGTTTCCTGTGGCCTGTCCCTGTACCCGAGCCACCTAGGTTCTTGTTGTACAACACAAACCCACAAACCTTGACCAACAGTATGTGTTGTACAACACAAACCCACAAACCTTGACCAACAGTAGGCAATAAAGTTACATCTACGAGTATATTATCTCCATCGCATAAGAATGACTGTTTCTAAATTGGTCCAAATGTCATTTTCAGCAGGTATCCAATGCCTTTTCACACCGACAGGTAAATACACCGATGTGAAAATGCCGATAGTTGAGGAAATAGCAGATGATTTTTACTCACTGGAACACTGCACAAGTACTTAGTCACAACCGCTGTGTAAAAGCGATGAAGTGTATTTCAGAACACACAAAAATGCATCTAAGATACAGCAGCCACTGTGTCAAAAGAAACCATCTCAAAGCGCAGCTGGCTTGTTACAAAACGGTGGTATTCAGACAAACTTTCTTGTAGCAGACGATGGATTCCCAAGCAAGTTAGTTCCACCAGTAAATAATCAGGTTAGGGGTTGAACGTTACTACACGTCGGGAATGTACTTATGCTACAGTTGTGAACGGCACCGCACAGAGAAAAACTACATTGGCAGCCGCGGACAGCGAAGGGAAACGGAAGGCACGTTCGCTCCAGTCTAAGTTTGGGTTGCAGTGAGTGAGTGAGTGGGTTTGGTGAGTGAGTAATGAGTGAGTGGTTTTACGCATGTAGAATTATCACGGCGGGGGACACCAGAAATAAAAACCCTTCACATACAGTACCCATATGGGGAATCGATACCGGGTCTTCAGCGTGACGAACGAACACTTTAACCACTAGACTAACCCACCGCCCCATAGTATCGAGAGCCAATCTGATTATACATTTCTGTGGAGTTTTTCAACTTTCAAGCCAAATGGTACATACGTGCAACTTTAAAATAACTAAATAATATATAGTTAGTAATGTCGGTAGAGATATACATAATTTTGCGTCTTGTCTATCACTATTTCTAGATGTTATCACAACAAAGGTTGGTGTCATGTTGATAGTCAAGTAAGGTCTTAGTTTACGCAGTGTTGGTTGCAATGAAATTGAATACATAGCTGTCGAAGAAGATTTTATCACGTCTTTTTTGTAGAAAACCCAATGTATTTTGCAAGCATTATTTCGAAACACGCAGTAGTACATGAATTCTATCACAGACATCATTAATATAATGGCTTACGTGTTCACTTCTTGTCTCCCCGTTTCGGACTGTTAAAAAAGCTGATTATTCAGCGTGTAATGGCACGTTTTAGAAAAGGAAAGTTCAAAACACGATAGGTTCATCTCGTAATCTGTATATACTGGTAATTATTAATGCAAACCCCATATAAGGAGGCATTGCAGCCTTTTCTTTTCCGAACAACAACTTACCTCCGCCAAGGAAATCTCACGTGAAATATATTGTCTCCGATATCGTGCACTACATTAAAACGGAATTATAACAATGGATGCATCGCAATTTGAAATGAATCATTTATAGACGTTTCTATGAATTGAAAGGGTGCCTAAGAAACTGCACAATACAACAGTACATGAAGTATGCATGAAACCAAACAATAAACAGGATGTTGAAATTATTTCACGTCCACGGAAACACTATCCATCAAACCTGCATCTCATACCTGGTAGTAGGTATCACATTATAAATGATTAGATAAATTCAGAGAATTATATTTACATTAAGGTCAAACAGTGAACTGTTGCCAGGTGAAAACTTTTTCATTTCCAACCAAACATATTTTTCATGTTATAAGATACGGATTCTGTTATCCAGGGATCTGGGATCGTAGCGCTATGACTAACTCCCATACTTTAACATAGTTCGACTCGTAGCGCTACGATCGCTTTGAGGAACGGGGCCTCTCAAAGCGTTCGTAGCGCTAAGGTGATCGTAACTCCCATACTTTAACATAGACTTACGACTGTCGTAGCGCTACGATCGCTTTGAGGAACGGGGCCCTGATCCACAAAACGTTCGTAGCGCTACGACATTCATACGCCTATGATACACTATAGAGTTACGAGAGGGCGCAACGCTACGAATGCTTTGTGGATCGGGACCCAGGCTAATACTATCATCATACTAAAGAGTTGAATGTTGAGAATGTTGTGTTTTGAGATGGAAAAGTTAAAGGCGTTCCTGCGTCATCATAAATGTTTTCAAAAGGTACTACTTACACTTAGTTTAGATAAATTCCCCATGGCTCCGTTCCTCGTAGCTCTAAGATGATCTTAACTCCCATACTTTAACATAGACTTACGACTGTCGTAGCGCTACGATGGCTTTAGGGAACGGGGCCTAGGACAATTAAAACATTATCTGCGGCCTAAATGTGTCCCTATAAATTATTAATCATGCATGCATACGTCCACGTCGTGTGTGTGAGACCTGACGTAGAGAAGTCACTCAGGGGGAGATAATCGATCTCTGCTGTTTACACACTCACGGCGGTGTGACTGAGTAGAGATTATTACTGATAAAAATTAGCCATTTAGATTAATTATGAAGCACATTTATACGGAAAGGGCGAATAATTACCTAGATGGCGGCATGTGACACTGCAAACACAATAGACCAGGCGAACCCCTTCGGGAGCATGATGACGACCGATCAATCTTAATACTTAGGATCATTACGGAAATACTTGAAACACGGGATGCGACAGGCTGTAGGTGTTTACAGGTGACAGTTCCATGTATTCCTGTGTACTCCGTGCCGTTGCCAAGACAGGATGTAGTTGATTAGGTGTACTGTATGGAATCAGGGACAAGGTTCAACGCATTTCCACAAATCAAATCAAATTGCTGAGTATGTACAATGTCCTTGCGAGACCTTGTAATGTATGAAATATTACCTACATGTACTAGGGAATATAACGTGACTAATGAACCTTTAAAATCAGGAAAAAAGATGATTAGAAACTCTCTTAGCAATGGTATATATATATACAGAGTGTGTTGTTATCGGAAAGTGTCACCTGTCATAATTAAATATCAGTCACTTACGTAATATAGTGACTGGAGCGGATAGGGGATTATGTCATGTATTTCCAATTGTGTTTATATTATGTTCTCAGCTGTCTTCATGTTGAAGTGGGGCAGTGGGGTAGCCTAGTGGTTAAAGCGTTGGCTCGTCACGCCGAAGACCCGGTTCGAATCCCCACATGGGTACAATACGTGAAGCCCATTTCTGGTGTACCCCGCCGTGATGTTGCTGGAATATTGCTAAAAGCGGCGTAAAACCAAACTCAGTCAGTCAGTCATGTTGAAGTGACCCGCGAAGGTCCGGGTTAGAATTGATCTTCAGTAACCAATGCTTGTCGTAAGAGGCGACTTACGGGATAGGGTGGTCAGGCTCGCTGACTTGGTTGACACATGTCATCGTATCCCAATTGCGTAGATCAATGCCCATGTTGTTGATCACTGGATTGTCTCGGTTATTTACAGACCACCGCCCCGCCATACAGCTGGAATATTGCTGAGTGCTGAATACGTGGTGATTGTGGGTGGGTGTTGTGGGGAGAGATTGTGGGTTGGGGATTAAGGAGGGTTATTGTGGGTGGGTGTTGTGGGGAGAGATTGTGGGTTGGGGATTAAGGAGGGTTATTGTGGGTGGGTGGAGGAGGGAGGGATTGTGGGTTGGGGATTAAGGAGGGTTATTGTGGGTGGGTGTTGTGGGGAGAGATTGTGGGTTGGGGATTAAGGAGGGTTATTGTGGGTGGGTGTTGTGGGGAGAGATTGTGGGTTGGGGATTAAGGAGGGTTATTGTGGGTGGGTGTTGTGGGGAGAGATTGTGGGTTGGGGATTAAGGAGGGTTATTGTGCGTGGGTGTTGTGGGAGGAAATTGTGGGTTGGGGATCACGACTTATGTTGAAGTGTCTCTACTTTTACATCTTCAGCTAAACTGAAAAAGAACATCTCATCCTGTCACGCGTGACTTACTACTTGTTATATTGTGAAAACAGGAGACACATATATTCTACATCGGAGAAACCACACTTTCTGTTGAAAGTGTAACTTGATTAAAAAAACTACCCACACATAAAAAAATCTCAAATCGATAAATAGCCAAACCCGAACCAAAACGCAATACTTCGACCGTACGTCAGCATGTTTCGTAAAGAATTCCGTTTAACCCTGCTTTGCGGCGAATACTATATACATGTATTGTGGAGGTTCACCCTGGTTCATTGGAATCAAGAAAAGACGAAGTACGGAGAATGCTTCAATAACAAAAGAAAACTACTCTGAATTATATGTGGAGAAGATATGGCCGAATTTAGAAGTTAGAATGAACAAGAAAACATTTCAGTAGGACAGATAAACATATCTACCTGCTCGTGTCTGATCTGCTTTGGCGATAGAGACTAATGTGTGGTTAAATGGTTGCTGAAGTTAAAGAGAGCTGCTTCCGTTTCAACAAGATGATGAAACATTAATGAAACCACTCATTGTCATGGTAAACTCGCATATTTAATTTCCCGAGCTCTCTTCAGATAAAAGGTTTTTGAAACTTTTAATTGAATTTGAGAACATTAAGTGCCATTTTAGTCAAATAATAGAAACTGACTGCAGATTGTGATGTCGAAGAGAACGAAATGATTCGTACGTAGTGTGGTGAAAAACATCTTTATATGTATGCATGTTTTTGTAGATTTTCCATCTACTTTTAGACAGAAAGAATTTGCAGGAGATTTGACTGAAAAAAACTGGCGTCTTCATTGCTAAGAACACGAGTAAAAACATTTAAAACGGATTTCGGAGGTTTTGGAATGTTTTGACGATGTGTTGACTGTTTATAGTCATAATAATGAGCATACTATCTTATCGTGGTCTTTATGTGTGGTATAAGAGTGTTCAAAATTAGTTTAAAAACGCACAAGGTTAAAAAAGGACGAGAATACGGCACTTGCACCTTTGCTAGCGAACGAGACTCAAATTCAGATCCTATACTCAATGTATTGCTGCAACAGTTTTGTCACCTTTAAGTTGAACAGAAGAAGCGGAAGATATAAGCTGCAATGTCCACGTCCATTCACCAATAACCCGAGGGGCAGATCAACATGAGGAGACCGTGTATATAGGTGTTCGGCGTCCACCACTGCGAACAGTGTGACAGACAGGTACAGCAAGCGGATGAACCGGACTTATCATTGGAGTACATTAGCTGAGCGAGTCTTACGCTGTCCAAGCTATTGTAGCTGAGGCACTGTAGAAATAACCTCATTTCGATACGTCGACCACTCTCAGGCTGATGACGCCTGTGCTTTACTGTTGTGACAGAATAGTACCTGCAGCCCCACACTGCAGTTTCAAAGTAGACGGAGATGCTTATTAAGCTTTACAATGCGCTGGCATGGCTTGCGGCGGATGCCAGTTTTCGCGGTTGTTAACGTTAGAAAGTCAAGCACTTAGTCTCCACACACATATAAAGGTGTCTCATTTATTAATCACATATATACATGTGTCTCTTTAAAAAAACGTAGATATACACACGTCTCCTTTAATATTCACACATATACTATTGGCGCATATACGTGCGATTCAACACAATAATTATTTCCATGAGCCATGTGTGATGTATTGGCAACACGTGTACAATGTTTGTGATCTGTAAGTCACAATCATAACTCTTTGATTGTGGGTGGAGATTGTGTAGGTGTGAGTGAGGATTGGGGGAGGGGAATGCAGTAGGTATTGTGAGTGGCTGTAGTGAGGAGAGATCTCGAGACATAGTAAATCTATCCAAATATATCCTACATCTATCATCTCTTGTCAGAAAAAATGTTACTATGTTGTTAACTGCCATCTTGAATTTGAATTTGTATTTGTATATATGTTTGCAATATATGCTCTTGTACCACCAAGGTGGTTTATGAGAATAAAGAAATTGAATTGAAATTTGTAGTGAGGAGAGATTGTGGGTTGTGGATTACGGAGCGTTATTGTGGGTGGGCGTTGTGGGTTGTGGATTACGGAGGGTTATTGTGGGTGGGTGGGGTGCGGGTTGGGGATTAAGGAGGGTTATTGTGGGTGGGTGTTGTGGGGAGAGATTGTGGGTTGGGGATTACGGAGGGTTGTTGTGGGTGGGTGTTGTCAGCGAAGGTTTGTGTGTGTGTGAGAGAGAGCGTGCATGCTTGGGGTGAGGATTTGGGAGCGGGGATATTGTTAGTGGGTATTGAGGAGAACATTGAGGTGGGACATTGTCTGCAGAAGAGTATACCACGCTCAAACAGGACCAGACAGGTGTGCGTTGAAGTAGATCGCAGATAGGATTATTTGATCGTGTGAGAGATTTGGATATTTTGCATATATACATTTACAGGGTAGATTAAAAAAACATTAATCCTGCATTTTTCATGGTATGTGTCCACAGGTATTTGGAAGAGTCATTTTTGTAGACCTGTTTTGTATCCTTTTCCAGATCTTTGAGATGTGGAACTTCACCACTACTTGGTGGTCTAGTTGCAGTCATAAGGCCTCGTTTTGCAAACATGTACGCGTAATAACATTTGAATACTTAATTAGCAGTGGATGTGGGTTGCCGAGTTGTCTAAGGCGAAACAACTTGCTCAACAGAGTTGCGTTGTGAGTTGTGAGCACTATCTGTGTAGGGTTTCAGCAAAGTGGTAAACGTCTGAGATCTGCAACACTGTTAAACCCATCTTACTTTTCAATTATCTCGACAAAAATATACATGCATTAAAGAACATTTGACTGCGTGCAAACTGAACCATGTACCTCCGCATACTATGTGCTGTAATGAGTGCCCCATAGCTGCCAAGAGTTAGGTGGTCATGTTCGAGTAGGAGTGGTTCCTGTATAGCTCAGAGAACAGGAGTGAATTAGTTGCCATTGGTTAAACCCACCAGCACGGTTATGGTTCCGACAAACCTCACATAATCAGGGCTATCAGAGTTCGAAACCATGATCAGATATTTCTGACACGCCCAGGGGAGGCAACTCACGTGTCAACGTGTCTTCGATGCAGTCAAGTCACGGTCGATAATATGTTCATCCTATTAATAATTTCAGTCAATACACACAGTTAGAGCAAAACTAACGAAATAACATTTTATCACAGAAAAATATCAACCATGAGTCGACTGACTGATAAGATTACTGATATGTTTTATTAAAAAACCCTAAGGAAAACAATGTGTGCAAATCTTTCAGTACGGCCGTCGATGGTTCTGCAAGGATACCAGCAACATACTAATAGATTCATCGCCGTGTATGATCAAGTGCAACACAGAGATAGATTATCAGGCAAATTGATGTCTCCGGGAATGTGACTGCAGTTCTGTCAGTCATTAGCCTACAATCACTCGCTTCAGATTCAGGCACAATATGGCTACCGACACGTGAATATACAGTTACATTGTCCCGTTTACTGCACGGACCGGTGTAAAATGAGAATTGGATGTCCGGGAAGTTAATTGACAATTTTCATGACAACCCATGCTTTCTCTTTCATGGCGTACTCTGCTCGGAGAGACCTGTTGCCGGGCAAGAAATATAGTCGTTTATTCCACTTGGCTTGGTCTATTTTACTCAATAGTTGTATTATGGTTGAAACAAACCAATTGTCTACGAATATACTATTATATGTTGTCCACCCACGTTTGTAGACACAGCCTGCCCAGTCGTCAGCCTGGTTCCTTTAGTATTGCTACATCGAGCGCCACCTGTGATGCCCCACCTGAATTGGAGCAATTGTCTGTGCAGAGTTGCCTCCCTTGGGATGCTAGGCACTGTCGTTCTGATTATGTTTCGAGGTTTGTTAGCACCACGGCACCAAAGTGGTAAACGTCTGTCGATCCAGTGTTCAACAACATGAGCATCGATCTACGCAATTGGGATACGATGACATGTGTCAAACACGTCAGCGAGTATGACCACCCGATCCCGTTAGTCGCCTCTTACGACAATTAAGGGTTACTGACGACGAATTCTAACCCGGAGTCACGAGTCCAGTGTTGATACGACGGTGTTGCATTCAGTACCTCAGCTCCACAACGGAGATGTACAAACATATATACTGCTACTTAACGGGAATGTTTATTGTCTAACATAAACATTTTGATCATGAACCTGGGGCGGATACAGCTTTTTGAGAAAGGGGTGGGGGCACACTATTGAGAAAGGAGGGGTGCACACTTCATTTTCACGAGAGTTTCAATGGTCATTGAATAAACTTTCAGGACAAGGGGCAACCGTGCACCCCCTCTGGATCCGCCTATGTGAACAAGGAGTGGGTGAGAAATATCTAGGCAGGTGTCATTATACCATGTGGTGCATCCAGCTCGGGACATCGGTGTGACGAAACGCTTTACCGTCTTCACTCCCCAAACCACTCTTCCTTTACAGACATTAATTGTATGACTGGAACACACATGTTCACAACCGCTGTAACTGGGGATTAATGACATGAGCAACGTACAACGTTGTCGGTGTGCCATGACGCAGATTCTACCAAGTCACCGCGTCTGGCACATGATCCAATTTAGTCACTTCTTACGACAATCACATGGGTTCCCGAGGTCATGTTTATAACACGGGATCCCCAAGGGGGTCCTTACTCATGAAAATGTTATCTGATAGTTCTAATTTCCGAAGTCAATGAACCTTTCAGAAAATGTAGACGCACTACAAAGTGTCAGTTCAATGTGATGTCTTTAAACGGCATCTGAGAGTAACAAGTCAACATTTAAGAGGGAAAACAGTAGAAAGCACAAGCCGTGAAGCGTGTGGATAGGGACGGAGGGTCGGTGAAGCGAAGCGAGGACAAGAATGGAGGTACGTGTGTACGGATGCATGGAGCGACCATTTAAAGTATGGATGGGATGTGTGGGTGTGGGTGGGTGTTTAGGTGGGGGGACGATTGACATATGAGTGATGATGAGAGCATGTAGAAGGGACGGGTGGACGCTTAAAGCCTTTAGAGGTAGGTTAGGTTACTAAATTTGACTAGGAGAGTGGTTAAATCATTGACACGGCTAGATACACCAGTAACTGTACACTAACACCCTCGTTGGAGGCACATAAAACATTTCAAATAATATAAAAAAGAAACGTTTAGGTAAGGGCCGGAAATGAAAATATAAATTAAATCAAATTAAGAAAAATGAACACAATTTGATTCAGCGTTAACATGCTCTACGTCGGACTGTGGATAAAGAAGCAATGTGCTTTGAGAGTCCTTCTCAATTCTGATACACCCCCATTTTGAAATAATAATTGATAGGAATATCGATCTAGTTAACATGTGGCTTTGAAAGGATATAAGTCATATTTGTGCACATTCTGCATACGTCAACATTTGTTGCTATATATCGAGTCCTTGATCGGGCACAGAGACGTGTTACAGAGAAGAGATGACACGCGGTCGTAGATATGTCAGGTGGTATAGGTTCCTGGTGGCAAGATGTTGGTCCCGGGTGGCAAGATGGTAGTCCCTTCCGGGTGGCTAGATGTACATCAAGGATAGTTCCTCTCTCTCCCTTTCATGATCACCATGGTTACCGTCAACTTGATCATCTGTAATTATACAAACGGTGAAGTACACACACATTAAACGCATAGTTACCTGCCTCACGGTTTCAGACTTACGCTATTATTTCTCTCGTCATGTTTTTGCCACAAAACTGGTAGCTCTCGCACCAAATTGGGTTCTTACAATAAATGCACATTTTGACCACTTAAAATCACACAAATGGGTCTGAATACATCGTTTTCACAGACTTTTCTGAAATAGGGAATGTGCAGTTATGCATTCGACTCTGGAGCCTGTGGGGAGCTGCGGCCCTTGGACCCTGGCATCTCAAGCTTTTTTCTTCTCTTTTGGGGGTTGTACGCTCAGTTAAGTATTGAGTGGCACAGCGTTCATGTGTACATCGGCGTGACATTTTGAAAAGTGAAACATTGCGTTGTATAAATATATTACTTTACCATTGCAAATATATATTTCTGTTTGACGTTGGCAAACACCTAACCTGCAAACATTACTCATAAATAATACAAAAGAAGCTGCCCCGGGTGAGGATCGAACTCACGACCTTCAGATTGCTCTGACATGATCGGTATGATTATGAGACTGACGCGCTACCTACTGCGCTACCGAGGCCTGTACGCTAAATGGCAAATAATACAGGTCACCCTTTCACTAATATGACGCGGGCTATTTCTACCATTATTCCAGATTTGTAATTCCAACATAACAATATCTTTCCTCGTCACCAGCATAATCACTGTGCATCTTAAGATAGATTACAGTGAACGCCGCCATTGTTATCGAGGTCGTGGTGGAAGCCCAGTCCAGCCTGGCCGCATGGAACTGTGGGTAGGAGAGTGCAGGCGCAGCAGACCTCGGGAACTAGGCTGAGCCCTATTTTCCTCAAACTGGTTCTACTATTGATATGCGCAGCTAGATGGGAGCCTCAGGCTACAGATGCCGTACAGACAAAAGCCAAGTCCATAAGCTCCTGAGAGGCGCGCACACATCGTTGAAGTCCGCGTATCGAGTGATGAACGATTAATTTAAAACTAAGACACACAATGCTTCCTTGGCGGAGAACGAGCAAACCGATATGTAAAACATAGTTTTTTTTCATTTTTATATTATTTTAAATCAAATCAAAATCATTCTGATCGTCACGATATGGCTGAAATATTGCCGATGTGACGTTAAATAATAACTCACTCACTCATTCTGAGATATCAAATGTATTAATATTCTATTTTAATACATAGTTTATCAAAATAAAAACCATTAGATTTCTACTTAAACACACCATCAGTGATAAATATTTATTACTGCAAGAACGAAAATTGTTGATATATATTTAGTATTTAATTATTTACAAGCAATATCTGTTTGTTTTTCTTTAATAAGTTTAGACTACAAAGTTAAACTTAAGTTTAGAAATAATTTTACGAGACTAACAGATTTTGAAACGAACTATGAACACGTTGATGTTGAGAGATTGGTGATTTCCTCTCGGCGGAGACTAGAAACACCAGGTCACTGAGACAAGCAGGTAGGTATATGACTAGTAAACTCAACAGAAACTCGTCACTGGAGAAACACTGGTGTCAATGCATTTAATCTGACATGGAAATCAGAATTTAGAACATGAATTTGAAAAATGTCACAAAAATCAATATATCAGAAAGCATGTATTTTTGTGAAAATGATATCACGAAAATAGTTTATGTTGTGTTGTGCGTTTATGTTCAATGTTCCCAGTCAGTGTTTGTCGATATAAGATAGAAAACTAAGGACAATTTAAAAATAACAAACTAAAACAAAACAAACAAAAATAGAGGACTTTGCAATCTCTCTGGTTTTGAAACTTTCGTGTGTTATGAAGACATCTGTGAAGCGCTGTCGCCAAGAACAGGTAATTGCGTCATGGTGGCGAACAGCAATCACCATGGCAACACATGCACGACACATCTTAAAGTTTGATGGCCTATTGACAGGAAAAGCAATCACACAGTTTTCTCCTTGACACAAAGTTAATTTTGAACGTGTGTTGTGAGGTAAGCCGCTTAGTACAAGCCACTCTATTGTCTTGTTGGGGGAGTATTCATTATTAACGAAGCAAAATGTAGTCTGAATACTTTACTACTGGTGGGATTTGATGTTGTGACAAGGCCTCAATAAAAACTTACCTAACTCTTTTAACTGAGTCGGGCTGTTGAGTCTTGTTGTGGTAGTTGCCATGGTAGCCAAGGGCGCCACCTGGTTGTGTCGGTAGTCTGGGTACGGCCGGGTGGTCCTTACTGCCCACGTGTCTGACATCTAAAGATCATCAGGTGCACATCAAAATCACTTTAGCGGGAATAAATCTGTTAACACCTCTTGGGAATTAACATAACGAGAGCTTTGAAAGAGATATATTGATTCTAATCATTTTCTATAAAAACAAACTGATAAACTGAAAAAAAGAGAAATCGAAGCATACATAATTAATTATCATTTTTATTGCATTTATTCGCTGAGACACGATACCAACATGGTGATGGAAGTAGTACTGATGTTTACCGTAAGTGAAATATTGCAAGTTTTGAGCCAATTCCAGATTATGTCGTTGCGTGACTTTATGAAGACGATTCTAACAATATTTTGAAACAATCTTCCAGCAATATACCGCAGAGTGACACACCAAATTGGCTTCATTAATTGTAACAGTAAATGTGGGGAATCGAATCCGTTTTCGGTGTGATCAGCGAATACTTCAACCAAGCTAATCATTTACGTAGATTTGTAATGACTATCTGATTTTCATCACGATTTATATCCATTCTACTGTGCATTTAGTTACCGAACCAAACCAAAATAAATGAAACGACGGGAGGGATGGATTTCCAGATCACAGAGGTTCTCTGATAGTCTTGTAAACGGATAAATGCATCAGGGTGTTAAGGTTTCTTGGCAATGTTTTATGGTGCCCCAGTCCAGCATCATCAATTGTCTCAAGTGCCACCGGAACATGTCACGCCTATACGACCATGGCCACAGCATTTGCCTAGACCCACCACAAGCATTACCCCAGACCTCCCTTGTGTCCGGACCCCACCCACCTGGGTCCAGGCCCCCCACCTAACCGGGCTCCACCCACCTGGCTCCAGGCCCTACTCCCACCCTCCTGGCCCCACCTGGCCGGGCTCCACCCACCTGGCTCCAGGCCCCACCAACCGGGCTCGGGCACCCCCACCCACCTGGCTCCAGACCCCACTCAACCCGGGCTCCACCCACCTGGCACCAGGCCACTCTAACCGGGCTCCACCCACCTGGCACCAGGCCACCTCTAACCGGGCTCCACCCACCTGGCACCAGGCCCCACTAACCGGGCTCCACCCACCTGGCTCCAGACCCCACTAACCGGGCTCCACCCACCTGGCACCAGGCCACTCTAACCGGGCTCCACCCACCTGGCACCAGGCCACTCTAACCGGGCTCCACCCACCTGGCACCAGGCCACTCTAACCGGGCTCCACCCACCTGGCACCAGGCCCCTCTAACCGGGCTCCACCCACCTGGCACCAGGCCGCTCTAACCGGGCTGCACCCACCTGGCTTCCTGTACTATGTGATCCGCTGGACAGATCACCTCGCCGTAGTAGTTGTTTCTCCCGAAGACGACGTAGAGCCTGACGCACCTGGTACAGAAGCAACACTTGTTGATATCACAACATGGGTGAATATAGTTCATCTATACACAGCGTCAGTCAACTAATTACCCAAAGATCGACATGAGAATACATGTAGTTTTAGTTTTAGAAGTCCTATAATACGTACTGGTCACACTTCAAACTCCTCATTTCGTGGCAGACAGATATTAATCGACAATATAAACAAATTAACCGTGGAATACTCTATTTTGGCTATGGACAATGTGCTACTAGAGCTGTTGTCTGTCATGAAATGGCTCGACATCATATCTTTTAATAGCTAAATGACTATAACATATGTTCACGACCATTGCCAAATATACATACATTCATGTCTTATCTACTGCCGGGTGTATATCTAAGTGAGAATAAACTATTTTCAGGAACAATGACTACACTACTTTTTATTAACTATGAAATGTCCGTCAAAACACAGTCAGGACAGAAGGTTCACATCTACTTTAACAAGTGCGTCTGTTCTGGGCGTGCTTCGTCGACTTAATGTATAACCAGTCCACGATTAGTTTGTAGATCCACGAGACGTGCATGACCTGTCGACTTAGGGTGTCAGTCACGAGGAGTACATGTAAATCTTTGATAACCGGGCACCTGCTGTCTTTGATGACGAGCTCAATATAAACAACGTGGCGGGAAGTAACACATGGTATACTATAAACACACTGCTGCTGACAAGGTTTCAGAAATCATTATACTCGCCTCGCCGTTGAACGCACAGTGGAACATTGCGATGAAAAATCCCTGAAACAAAAGTTGCTTAAAGATGTCTCTGATATATTTTAGGAATATCCCAGTGAACTTTATAATCAAGTAGGGAAAACCTGTGTTAGAGTTTTTCTACAAGACAAATAAATATATACTTTTGCAACAGTTTAAGTTAAAGAAGTGAGTAGGTGTGGTTTTACGCGGCTTTAGCAATATTCCAGCAATATCACGGCGGGGGGCAACAGAAATGGACTTCACACATTGTACCCATGTTGGGAATCGAACCCTGGTCGTCGACTTCAACCACGAGGCTACCCCACCGCCCCTCAAGGAGAGAAACGCTAATTTTAGCAGAACTTCATCAATGTGACGGCGGAAGACCCGAAAATAGGGCTCCACATATTGTAGTTACTTGAGGATATAGTCCAGCGCTACGAGCGAACACACTCACCACACGTCGTCGTTGTTTCAGATGGGGAACTAATCGGATTATAATGAAGGATACAACGTCATGGTTAACAACTTGTTGTTAATTGTACAGAACGACGTGTCGATGTTGATTCTTAAACCGTTATGGAGCTAAAGTAGCCTTAGAATGTACATCGAAACGTCTGTATCTGCCATGACAAGAAAGTTGTTATCCATGTACGCTTCCGACATTACTCATCAACTTCTAGAACTTAACGATCAAACAGTTCAATAGGTATATGGCATTTACTAGATTTTCAAGCGCAGAGACAACGGGCGCTAAGCAAACGGGATATTCCCCGATGATGCCTGTCAGCCTTATTACAATCGGCAGCAAACATGTCTGTCACTGGGTAAAGGTGTCGCAGCTCATATATAGACAGGAACCAGTCTGCAGTTTGTTTGAACTTTTGGGGAACGAGATACCCCTGTGTGAAAGTGGTTCAACTTGTTCAACTATATATGGAGCCTGTCAGTGACAGAACAGAAAGGCGAAGATTTTTCTTTAACGATATTACCATATGATAAGCACTGGATACAAGTTTATAATTATATTTCAAGTGGAAAACGGCAATTCGAGTTAAAGACATTTGGGGCTCAGACACGCCAGTGGTTTAAGCATTTTACGACCTCTTCATTCATCAACACTTACTGAATAACTGAATTTTAACCAGTTCGAGCTAGGTGCCCGTCTCATATATTTTAGAGAGCGGCCAACAAGCACACGTGTACGCGCGCACACACTCAATCCGCCCGCAAACACTGACCCACACACACTTTGACTGAGGGAGACGACTCACTTGCAGGGAGTTGAAGATGGCAAACAGGTACTGGAAGACGACGAGGCGTTGGTTGACGGCAGCCAGCCCGAACACCCACGTTAGTCCAAGGAGGGGGAGGAGAAACAACGCCCCCTTGATGCCGGCCCTGGGGACAGAAAGGATGTCAGGTGAGGAAAAACAAACAACAAAAACTACAACAGCAACCCCAAAAATAAAACCCACCAAACCCCACAAAACAACAAAATCGAAAAGAAGCCAGGTTGAACTGAACCACTAAATATCTGGGTTAGACCTGGTCTTCTGCCATTCAGGCTTGTCGGTAAGAGGGGTGGCCAGTCGCGGTGCCATGGTTGACGCATATCATCGTATTCCAGTTCAATAGGTCCCAACATTACCGACATCACGGGGACTGCGTTTAACAGAGAGTTCAGTTTTGCTGACAAATCGCTTTTTCAGCAACTTTGTGACCTGTATTTTGAGTACATGGATTATCAATGTTCATTTCACCTGATCAATCAAAGGCTAACTGATGAGACAGGATTAGACGCAGATCGATCTACCACAATGAAACAACGTCATTGAATTCGATTTCATTCGGCACTGTTAGGCGGAATCTTTTGCATCTCAATGTAATGAATTGACACTGCCCGGGGGTGAAGCTCATTGACATTATCAACGGCTTGGGGCTATGGATGGAGGAGAAGAGGGTGGGACGGACGATGGTCATTCTCACTGACACTCATTTCTGCCAGACTGTCCAACACAGAGAGGGATGACCGGCTCGTTCATTCGTCTCCATGTCATGCATTCCTTATTCAAGAATACTCCCATTCAAACGCAAACCTGTTTATATCTGAAAGTTGGCCAGAGCAATCAAACGCTAGAGTACATCCTCAAAACGTTCATAATTTCGCAGAATGCAAAATACACTGAAACCCCCAAAATGCAGACAGTACACGTTACTTGCGAAAACGTCCGAATAAATAATTTGAAATTATATGCAGTAAAACGCCAGGAGACTACGAAAATCAGTTGCATTCGAAGATACTCGTGAGGCTGGTGAATACCTCTGCCTTTGAAAATTAACATGTGAATTCAAAATGTTAACCAAAATGTCGAAAAGAAGCTCAATTTTCATGAACTTCTTTCAAAACTCCATTCAATAATGTTATCATTAGTTTGGGTGGAATCGTGTGTGAGGTTGTCGGCAGATCCAACCTACTCACCACGACAATCTCCAACTTTAATAGAACGTTGTCATATTTCATACATCATATGGGGGCGGTGGGGTAGCCTTGTGGTTAATATAAAGCGTTCGCTCGTCACGCCGAAGACACAATCTGTCAAGCCCATTTACGGTGTCCCCCGCCGTGATATTGCTGAATAATGGTAAAAGCGGCGTAAAACACAATACTTACTCACTCATAAATCATATGACATAAAATATGCCACGGCTAATTTTATCTCACAACCAGGGGTAAATAAATAGGTCCTTTGATATAAAAGAAAATTTATAATATATGTACTCGTCGTGCTGGATGATGTGCCTTTCAAAGACAGGTCTTACTTGAGGTATTTGTGTGACGTGCCTTAGAAGACATTGTTCGCCGTGTAGAGGGACAAAGTTATATTAGCTAAGCTAAGTGTGCGACGTAAAGCAAATTGTCTTTTCACCTAAAGCCAAAGTGATCTTGTTGGTATGACGTATCGTAAATATCTATATGCCAGCTGTGACGTACCTTATGTGGTCATACTCGCCGTGTTTCTCAAGTTTAGACGAGGATATGACGATCCGTATGACGGCAGCCAGGATGACCATGTTAACCTGGAAAGTGAAGTGAGTGAGTGAGTGAGTGAATGGTTGTGTAGTTGAGTGAGTGAGATAGTAGATCATTGTGTGAGTGAGTGTTTTTGTTTCATGTCAGCTTTATGTGCGGGCAACGCGGTAAGTGACGGCCCAGACACAGTGAGCCCCGCGCGAGCAATGGCGTCGTCTTCACAATCAGGGTGAATCTTGGATTCAGAAGGGTCGGGCGTTGGGAATGGAATGTACCTCTACACAACGTCAATACAACCTGAGCCCGGGTCAGGGAGTGCCCACTCACGAGTGGTATTGTTCTCCACCACTTCCAGCTATACCCCAGCAATACTATAGCAAACATGTGACTTACACACTGTACCCATGATGGAAATCTACCCCGAGATTTCAGCATGACTGTCCAGCGCTAGTTTGGGCCACTACACAAGTGTTTTGTTTGTAGCCGACTCTCAGACGGTCTGTAAATATTTGTGTCCAGAGACATTCCGAATATCGAGCTAAGAAACTGAGATAGGATCACATGCATCCTCCAAGAGAGCAATTCTGACCACCTGATGCCGTTAGTTGTCCCTTAACGATGAACACGGGTGGCTGAAGACCAGGCTCGGATCTTGAGAGTGATATAAGGCAGCAATCGGCTCAGCTCATACTTAAAGACCCCGACTTAAATGACATATTAATTACATGTTAATGTAAACAATGTATTACGCTCAAGCATACTGACTCACTATTATGATGGCGAGGGCTGGGCCAACGAATGTCCAGATGGTTTTCCGACTAGTGGACAGCCAGCAGCTGCGAACATCGAATGGAACACATTGCAAGCATGAAATATGACAAGCACCGTTTACTACCAAACATACTGGCCTTATACATTGTCCATGCATGTACCTTGCATTGGGTACGCGACACCCGAATCATCCAGCGATGAAGACAAATGACATTACGATAATACCTAATGTTTCTAGCAAGTTCGGGAGGGGTTGGAAAACATTGTTTTCGTCTTGGTGCATATATTAGTGTCTCAGCTGCATGAGCTTTAAGTTAAAAACGCTTTAAATGAAAAACAAAACCCCAACTATCATGTTTATTCCAAACCAAAGGGTACTGCGAACTAGTGCATCGAATCTCTGTAATTGTTCTAGATTTATATATTGTTTTGATACCTGATACAACATATATGTGTCAAGCCTTGTGTAGATATACTTTTACAATATTATAGTACCACCCACCTGTGCTCTGTACCGTACCCCTCCCAGTCGGCCGCGGCGGAGATCGTCACCAGGATCACCGGTACACCTGTTGAGCGAGTAGGAGTATTACAAATCAGATAATGGTCAAGAATTTTAAATCATAAATTGCATTTTCAAAGTTTAACATGTCCCATTTTCACTCTGGAAACCGATTTGTCCGCATTGTAGTCTGTCTGCTGTCCGTAGCAAGTATGACAAGCGTGCATAAAATCCTTCGATGGCTTCACCCACATGGTCAAAGGGAGATAACTATTGTATGGCTATTCTTTTCCGATGAAAACATCATGTCCAAGCAATATTACTCTCTAAATATTTGTAATCGTTGCCATTATTATCAAGCGTTGCAATATCGAACACAATATACGTAGATTCTATCTATTGTGAAATAAGGTAACGAAATGTTCGAAAATGGTTCAAGATCACATTATGGTCACGGTGACCTGGCAAACCCGCTTCACGCGGTAAATTTAGGTCAGTCTCGTTAGGCTGGCTTCTACTATCAGATTTACGCAATGCGGTAAGTTTACTTTTATATTTAGCATTCCAGTATGTAATCACGTCATGCTGAAACACTGGCCCTCTATTTTAAGTCTTGTAAAGACCTTGTTAAAAATCACTGTGAAGCATCTCAGTTGTCAGGATGGCCGAGTGGTCTAAGGCGCCAGACTCAAGGCATAGCCTTCCTCGAATCGAGGTCCGGGTGTTCTGGTCCACGAATGTGGGCGTGGGTTCGAATCCCACTTCTGACACACCTTTTTTGTTTTCTTTTCGACGTTTTGGAGACCAGCGACCATGTGGAGGCTACTAATAATTTCTATTATGTATTTTGTAAACAGCGTAAATTTTATTACGTTTATTTAACCTAACATGTTCATCGAGAATAATCCATTTTCTATATTTCTTCTTTTTTAAAAACTATTTCTTGTGTTTGTGTTCATGCACTATGCTTTAGGTAGTGATTGTGTTTACGGGACATAATCTGATACTCTGTTCATTTTGACACGATGTTAATTTGTTTGTTGTTGTTTTGGGTAGGTTTTGTTTACATTTTCCACAAAAACAAACAACAGTAAACACCGGTATAACGACCTGGCAGATTTGTACATTTTTGGTCATATTTCTGAAGAGTCTATCCAGAAGTAACTCCAGCACACATGAGAGGTTACCACGTGTTTCATTGCATGGCAAAGCGACAGTCAAGTTTCCTTGATGCATATCACGATACATTATTATATAGTTTATTCTCAGAAAACCCACTGATGTGGTACATGAGAAAAAAGTATAACATTAATGCATATATAATGATAAACTCAACATGACAGGGGTATTGTTCAAATACATATAGAGATTGAGGGTCTCATTGAAAAAGGACAAAATTAAGGTAACAGGAATCTCATACACGTTTTTGAAGGGCTTCCTAACAACTTACCAGTAAAGATGATATTGATGTATTTAGACCAGTTTTGCATGTCTTTTACTCATGTCTTGTTCATATCTAAATCTGCCAAACACTGACGGGAACAGAGAGGTCCGGGAAGTTGTTCAGCATATTCACCTGATACAGAGTGAGTTTAGTGAGCGACTAGTAATAACGACCCCGTGTAGAACCACAGGCCCCCACTGCGGGTCAGATAGTAGGGGTGTTGATACTAAACCGGGGCCTAGTTTATCGATTTTCTGACCCGCAGTGGGGGCCTGTGTGTAGAACCTCGAATGAAGAAGGCTGGTTATAGCTGAGTGACCCTCTATAGCAGTTTCGAGCGAGAACCAGTGATGTTCGTGACCAACTCGTGTTTTTCCGGGATATATTACTAAATGACACGAGTAGTTACGAATGTGCTTACTTGTAGGTCACGGAAAGAGGCGAGTAGTTACGAATGGGGTTCTTTCAGGTTCCGGAAAATGTCGAAGGTTTACGGAGGTTAAAATGCACACCAAGGGACACAACTCGTGTATTTTATACTTAGAAAAAATAATAAATCCAATATATTTCAAAAAGTTCGAAACAAATTTAATTATTTATTTAACCACAATGTACAATATATTATTATATTTTTTAAATTAGAAAAAACACACAAAAATGTTAATGACAATCAAAGTAATGTCATAAATATATAGCATGTAAATGTACATCACTGTTAAATTGCTATAATATATCTCAAGTCCATGCAGATAATTCACATTTTGTTCGTTTTCATTCTTGTTACAAGTTATTCTTTTTAATTTATCCAGTGGGTTCTTCATTGAACCCTAATCATACAGAGAAAGATAGATACCAACAATCTCGCTGCATTAAATGGCAGAATATCCATCGAAATGTCGGCACGTAGGGGAGATTAATGTTCTTGGTGTTCTCATGTAGGCAGGGAATTTTAAGCGTTGACGCGTCACGCCATGGTACACAGGTGTGTAATGTGTTAATAGATTACTGTATATCATTCATGTGACTCCAGCTGAAATACAACTGCTAAAAATCTATCAAAGACTGAGTCACTTCGCCGTCGTGGACAAATCATAGTGAGTGAGTGAGTATGGTTTTACGCCGATTTTAGCAATATTCCAGCAATATCACGGCGGGGGACACCAGAAAGGACAAATCATAACCCATTCAGACCTCGAAATTGTCCATTGCCAAATAACTAAATCACCAATGATTTCTTGGAGTGTATATGAATGTAAAGAACACTGCACACTTTTGGATTTCATATACATGCTTTCATTTTTATACTTCCATAATCGTAAACTAATATCTAAGTCAGTTCCGGAACCAGAGAAAATTCGGGTTAGAATTGTTCTTCAGCAGTCTTAAATACGCTTTACGTAGTCACGAATGACATTTTTGACGAACTGTCATACAAAAATTGTTTGACAAATCATCATGTAAATGTTTGTATCCCAGACACAGTAACAACGAGGGCGTAACATCAAAAGATGATGATGATGATGATGATGATGATGATGATGATGAGCTGCCATGTTCATATTTCACTATTTTGATTTCTTATCATGCCCATGACCGACCGTTACAGCAAAACGATTTTCAACTGTATTTTTCAATTGTTTGAATCTGTTATAACTTGAAAGTGAATTATGTGTTTGTACAGCATGAATTACTGAAACATTGTTGAACAAGTTAAGAGTCTCCCAAAGCACAGGCAAGATGATAGCCTCCCACCCCACCCGACACAGAATAGCTGAGGGAGAGTTCCACCCCAGCCGACACAAAATAGCTGAGGGAGAAATCCAACCCACCCGACACAGACAAGTGAAAGGAGAGTCCCTCCCCACCCGACACAGAAGAGTGAAGGAGAGTCCCACCTGACACAGACAAGTGAAAGGAGAGTCATACCCCACCCGACACAGACAAGTGAAAGGAGAGTCCCACCTGACACAGACAAGTGTAAGGAGAGTCCCCCCACCCCCACCCGACACAGACAAGTGAAAGGAAGAGTCCCTCCTCACCTGACACAGACAAGTGAAAGGAAATTATCACCTGACACAGACAAGTGAAAGGAGAGTCCTACCCCGACCGACACAGACAGGTGAAAGGAGAGTCCCAGCCGACATAGACAAGTGAAAGGAGAGTCATACCCCACCCGACACAGACCAGTGAAAGGAGAGTCCCACCTGACACAGACAAGTGAAAGGAGAGTCCTACCCCACCCGACACAGACAAGTGAAAGGAGAGTCCCACCTGACACAGACAAGTGTAAGGAGAGTCCCTCCCCACCCGACACAGACAAGTGAAAGGAAGAGTCCTACCCCACCCGACACAGGCAAATTAAAGGAGAGTCCCTCCCCATCCGACACAGACAAGTGAAAGGAGAGTTCCACCCCACCCGACACAGGCAAGTTAAAGGAGGGTACCTCCCCACCCGACACAGAAGAGTGAAAGGAGAGTCCCACATGACACAGACAAGTGAAAGGAGAGTCCCACCCGACACAGACAAGTGAAAGGAGAGTCCTTCCCCACCCGACACAGACAAGTGAAAGGAGAGTCCCACCTGACACAGACAAGTGAAAGGAGAGTCCCTCCCCACCCTGACACAGACAAGTGAAAGGAGAGTATCACCTGACACAGACAAGTGAAAGGAGAGTCCCACCACCTGACACAGACAAGTGTAAGGAGAGTCCCTCCCACCCGACACAGACAAGTGAAAGGAAGAGTCCTACCCCACCCGACACAGGCAAGTTAAAGGAGAGTCCCTCCCCACCCGACACAGACAAGTGAAAGGAGAGTCCCTCCCTACCCGACACAGACAAGTGAAAGAAAGAGTCCCTCCCTACCCGACACAGACAAGTGAAAGGAGAGTCCCTCCCTACCCGACACAGACAAGTTAAAGGAGAGTCCCTCCCTACCCGACACAGACAAGTGAAAGGAGAGTCCTACCCCACCCGACACAGACAAGTTAAAGGAGAGTCCCTCCCTACCCGACACAGACAAGTTAAAGGAGAGTCCCTCCCTACCCGACAGAGACAGGTTAAAGGAGAGTCCCTCCCTACTCGACACAGAAGAGTGAAAGGAGAGTCCCACATGACACAGACAAGTGAAAGGAGAGTCCCAACCGACACAGACAAGTGAAAGGAGAGTCCTACCCCACCCGACACAGACAAGTGAAAGGAGAGTCCCACCTGACACAGACAAGTATAAGGGAGAGTCCTACCCCACCTGACACAGACAAGTGAAAGGAGAGTCCCACCTGACACAGACAAGGAAAGGAGAGTCCCTCCCCATCCGACACAGACAAGGAAAGGAGAGTCCCACCCCACCCGACACAGGGTAGTTAAAGGAGGGTACCTCCCCACCCGACACAGACAGGTTAAAGGAGAGTCCCCTCCTACTCGACACAGAAGAGTGAAAGGGGAGAGTCCCACATGACACAGACAAGTGAAAGGAGAGTCCCAACCGACACAGACAAGTGAAAGGAGAGTCCTACCCCACCCGACACAGACAAGTGAAAGGAGAGTCCCACCCGACACCCAAAGCACAGGCAAGATGATAGCCTCCCACCCCACCCGACACAGAATAGCTGAGGGAGAGTTCCACCCCAGCCGACACAAAAATAGCTGAGGGAGAAATCCAACCCACCTGACACAGACAAGGAAAGGAGAGTCCCTCCCCACCCGACACAGAAGAGTGAAGGAGAGTCCCACCTGACACAGACAAGTGTAAGGAGAGTCCCCCACCCCCACCCGACACAGACAAGTGAAAGGAAGTGTCCCTCCTCACCTGACACAGACAAGTGAAAGGAAATTATCACCTGACACAGACAAGTGAAAGGAGAGTCCTACCCCGACCGACACAGACAGGTGAAAGGAGAGTCCCACCCGACACAGACAAGTGAAAGGAGAGTCATACCCCACCCGACACAGACCAGTGAAAGGAGAGTCCCACCTGACACAGACAAGTGAAAGGAGAGTCCCTACCCCCACCTGACACAGACAAGTGAAAGGAGAGTCCCACCTGACACAGACAGGAGTGTAAGGAGAGTCCCTCCCACCCGACACAGACAAGTGAAAGGAAGAGTCCTACCCCACCCGACACAGGCAAATTAAAGGAGAGTCCCTCCCCATCCGACACAGACAAGTGAAAGGAGAGTCCCACCCCACCCGACACAGGCAAGTTAAAGGAGGGTACCCCCCACCCGACACAGAAGAGTGAAAGGAGAGTCCCACATGACACAGACAAGTGAAAGGAGAGTCCCACCCGACACAGACAAGTGAAAGGAGAGTCCTACCCAACCCGACACAGACAAGTGAAAGGAGAGTCCCACCTGACACAGACAAGTGAAAGGAGAGTCCCTCCCCACCCGACACAGACAAGTGAAAGGAGAGTATCACCTGACACAGACAAGTGAAAGGAGAGTCCCACCTGACACAGACAAGTGTAAGGAGAGTCCCTCCCCACCCGACACAGACAAGTGAAAGGAAGAGTCCTACCCCACCCGACACAGGCAAGTTAAAGGAGAGTCCCTCCCCACCCGACACAGACAAGTGAAAGGAGAGTCCCTCCCTACCCGACACAGACAAGTGAGTGAAAGAGTCCCTCCCTACCCGACACAGACAAGTGAAAGGAGAGTCCCTCCCTACCCGACACAGACAAGTTAAAGGAGAGTCCCTCCCTACCCGACACAGACAAGTGAAAGGAGAGTCCTACCCCACCCGACACAGAGTTAAAGGAGAGTCCCTCCCTACCCGACACAGACAAGAGTTAAGGAGAGTCCCTCCCTACCCGGCAGAGACAGGAGTTAAGAGAGAGTCCCACAGCCTACTCGACACAGACAAGTGAAAGGAGAGTCCCACATGACACAGACAAGTGAAAGGAGAGTCCCAACTGACACAGACAAGTGAAAGGAGAGTCCTACCCCACCCGACACAGACAAGTGAAGAGGAGAGAGTCCCCACCCGACACAGACAGAAGTATAAGGAGAGTCCTACCCCACCCGACACAGACAAGTGAAAGGAGAGTCCCACCTGACACAGACAAGTGAAAGGAGAGTCCCTCCCCATCCGACACAGACAAGTGAAAGGAGGAGTTCCACCCACCCGACACAGGCAGGTTAAAGGGAGGGTACCTCCCCACCCGACACAGAAGAGTGAAAGGAGAGTCCCACATGACACAGACAAGTGAAAGGAGAGAGTCCCAACCCGACACAGACAAGTGAAAGGAGAGTCCTTCCCCACCCGACACAGACAAGTGAAAGGAGAGTATCACCTGACACAGACAAGTGAAAGGAGAGTCCCTCCCCACCCGACACAGACAAGTGAAAGGGAAGAGTCCTACCCCCACCCGACACAGGCAAGTTAAAAGGAGAGTCCCTCCCCACCCGACACAGACAAGTGAAAGAGAGTCCCTCCCTACCCGACACAGACAAGTGAAAGAAAGAGTCCCTCCCTACCCGACACACAGAAAGGAGAGTCCCTCCCTACCCGACACAGACAAGTTAAAGGAGAGTCCCTCCCCACCCGACACAGACACAAGTGAAAGGAGAGTCCTACCCCACCCGACACAGACAAGTTAAAGGAGAGTCCCTCCCTACCCGACACAGACAAGTTAAAGGAGAGTCCCTCCCTACCCGACAGAGACAGGTTAAAGGAGAGTCCCTCCCTACTCGACACAGAAGAGTGAAAGGAGAGTCCCACATGACACAGACAAGTGAAAGGAGAGTCCCAACCGACACAGACAAGTGAAAGGAGAGTCCTACCCCACCCGACACAGACAAGTGAAAGGAGAGTCCCACCCGACACAGACAAGTATAAGGAGAGTCCTACCCCACCCGACACAGACAAGTGAAAGGAGAGTCCCACCTGACACAGACAAGTGAAAGGAGAGTCCCTCCCCACCCGACACAGACACAGTGAAAGGAGAGTATCATCTGACACAGACAAGTGAAAGGAGAGTCCTACCCCACCCGACACAGACACAGTGAAAGGAGAGTCCCACCCGACACAGACAAGTGAAAGGAGAGTCCCACCCCACCCGACACAGACCAGTGAAAGGAGAGTCCCTCCCCACTCGACAGAGACAAGTGAAAGGAGATTCCCACCCCACCCGACACAGACAAGTGGAAGGAGAGTCCCACCCGACACAGACAAGTGAAAGGAGAGTCCCACCCCACCACAGACAAGTGAAAGGAGAGTCCTACCCCACCCGACTCAGACAAGTTAAAGGAGAGTCCCACCCGACACAGACAAGTAAAAGGAGAGTCTCACCCGACACAGACAAGTAAAAGGAGAGTCTCACCCCATCCGAAGGTCATGTAGTAGATCATGCGGGAGCGCTCGGTGCCGAACACCTGGACCACCTTGCTGTAGAGATGCAGCCCCTCCACCAGCATCCACACGAACACGGCGGTGTAGCAGTAGTGCAGCACCAGCGCCACCGCCGCGCACACCAGCTGTTGGTGACGTCACAACGTTAGCGATATAAGTAGGGGAGTTCAAACGTCGCACCGCCATCGTTTCAGCCATATAGCGACAAAAACTTATGGAATTGTGTAACCCAAGACACGTTAGATGTATTATATCAAAAGGCAATCTGTCAAGCATTATTTATCATATCATTAATAATTATATCTAATAGCATGTAATGCCATTTCTAATAAATTCTTAATAAGGTTCTTGAGAGGCATATATAAGTTGGTATTCAAGTATAAGACAAAATATTATGGATGTTAAATTTCTTCTTTATTGTATACACAACGGTTCTGGGTTAATCCTTGCCCCTTTGTCAGGTGAATATTAACCAACAGTTGTACAGGATATATATACAAGTAATGCTACATGAAGCCAGGGTGATTTTAAGCATGTATACTACAACAACAAAAAATAAGGGAACCCCAAGTGGAATTTATAGTTGAAACAATGCTACATAAAAGTTGCAAGCTGACTGCATTCGAACCCAGATCGGAAATCACTTACGGCTGACACGACAGTCAGCACTATATTAACTTCACATGATACACGTGCATCATGCACCACACGTGCATTCTAGCCTATAAAACTGACAGCAAGCGTGTCCCACTATCTCTTGTGCAAATGCCACCTCGACAGTACCTGACAAACGCACAGAAATGGCAAGCCATTGGCAAGATAGAGGGTGGACAATCTCAGAATTGTGTTGCCCGGTTCTTCAGGAAGTCCAAAAGCGTCATTTCCCGTCTCATCAACCTTTACCGTCGAACAGGGGGCGTTAAAATGAGGACCGGTCGAGGAAGACGCCCTCGCATGTGACACATGTCACCGTATCCCAATTGCCTAGATCGATGCTCATGCTGTTGATCACTGGAATGTCTGGTCTAGACTCGATTATTTATAGACCGCCGCCACATGGCTTGAATATTGCTGAGTGCGGCGTAAAACTAAACTCACTCACTCGTGTAGGTATACCAACCCTGTGTTGTACGGCGTCGATGCCCGCCAGGAAGGTGACCTGAGCACACACAATGGCGATACACAGGTTCCGGTGAACATACATGTACACTCGCTCAGAGTTCAGGGACCTGGAACACAAAGTGAAAATAGTATATTGAGCCTGTATCAACCAAAAGACCTTACGAGGGCCGTGTCCGTCGAGGTATTTAGAAATGGCATTACGTAGACACTGTAGTTAGATAACGAAGCATGGCTAATATGATTAAGCCACAAGCCACCACAGGCCCTCGTGTCTTTGCGAGGATTAAAGATGTTAAGAAAATATGCTTCGACCACACCCCCGGTTTTTGCGGACATATCGTCATCCATTTGTGTCAAGATCGTTTAGTTTAGGGTCAAAATCGGGTTTCAATCGACTTGCAGAAATAACAATAAAGAATTGGTAGGTGTCATGAGTGGTGATCGATAGGCCAATCATCCATGATTATGTTTACATTAAGTTTTAATCGATTGCATGCGATGGTGCCGTAGCGATCGGCAAAACAGGCGAGTGGGGTACACCGAAGTGTCCGGCCTTGTGATGATTTATTGTACTGTAAAACATTTCGAGTAGGGGTTCATCTAAAAAAAAAATTTAACCTTTAATCTTCGCAAAGACGCGAGGGCCTGTGCAAGCCACGTGTTCCCTGTGGACTGACATTATGTCTCTGAAATGAATATATTTTAAAGAAAAAGTTTCTAAAATATAATCCTAATATATATTAAGCCGGAGCCTAGATACTGCCTTCATTTTCAAACTGTGGTAATCTAGACTAGCCGGACATTCTAGACTTGCATGGGCTGCATTGGGTATATTTGTTTCAGGGTCTGTATGACAAACTATGTTCCTTGCAATAGTCGTTGATATTGGTTGGGAATAATTACAGATATCTGAGTTGGACAGAGTTTGATGTTTAGTTTTGACTCCTCTGAGGATTCCCAAGGTGTCCTCATCAAGCAATGATCGTCCAAAAGGTGACTGATGGTGGTGAGTGCGATACGGTAGATTATGGGACGGTACGTCGAGTCTGCCTAGTCGGGAGTTTTTAAATTAGAGGCCCGCGGGAGAACGCTGGCACAACCAACAAACACACCTGCTACCATATGTAAAATTGACAATACTACATGCCTGATTACATTACAGACTGACGCACAAAAAAGAAAATACACACCTGGTGCTTCAGGGTTATTAAACCAAACAACGAAAATCACTTACAGCAAATGTGTCTGCTAAAAAATGTGTTTGAAGCTTTAAACAAATAAACGGAAGCAGCATATTTTATAGACGGATAGACCAGACATGTGGGATATACTACTTGACATGGTTCTTAGCAATTCTTCAGGAAATTCAATTTGGCTTAAAGTCGTTTCTATGGAATACTGTAAGGGACATTCTCGCGATCTCGACCTTTGGAAACAAGCTAAATATGCCAAAAGTGCAAGAATGCGAGATCGCGAGAATCTCGCGTTCTCGCGATCTCGCATTCTCGCGCTTTTAGCATTTTACCTTGTTTCCAAAGGTCGAGATCGCGAGAATGTCCCTTGCAGTATTCCATACGTTTCAGAAATCGACTGACGTAAATTTTCTTATGCTGCATTGCATTTGCGACTCACCACACGTAGATGTGGGGATTAGCACGTAAATTACCCGACAAACGTGTAGATGGTGATGGCAAACACTTGAGTGATGAGCGCCACACTGCAGCCGATGTATGTGATCACCTCCAGAGCTAGCTTGTCGCTAGCGGCTAGCTGCAACAAACACAGAGTATCAGTTATCTCCCCTACATTGTAACCAAACTGATGTTCTAACCTTGGTTTTTGTTGGAAGTCTTCATGAACTATATGGACAAGCAGCATCATCACGTTGTTATAGTATAGTTGTTTCAAGGAGATAACAGACTACTCGTCCTTACTGGTGTTCATTCCATGTTAGGAAATGTAGAGGAGAAGAGAAAAGTGGTTGTTGAGGAAGGGTTTTACTGGAGAGTGAGGAGAGTAGTGACTCGGGGTTCGATGAAGAGAGCCAGAGAAGATGACAAAGTGTTGCCAAAGTTACAGGCAATTTGTCAGGCACGTGTTGTGTCTAGTAGTCACCGTTTGTTGACTGACTGACTGAGTTTGGTTTTACGCCGCTTTTAGCAATATTCCAGCAACATCACGGCGGGGGACACCAGAAATGGGCTTCACACATTGTGCCCATGTGGGGATTCGAACCCGGGTCTTCGGCGTGACGAGCCAACGCATTAACCATTAGGCTACCCCACCGCCCCCCGTTTGTTGAAAAGATACTAGGTATGTTTTGACCAAGTCAGCTTGACATTTGTTACATTTCAGTCTTCAATGTAAATATGTGACCTAATAATAGAATAGAGCCATGAGTGAGTGAAAGAGTACAGTTTTACGCCTCGTTTAGCAATAATCCAGCAATATCACGGCGGGGGGACACAAGAAATGGGCTTCACACATTGTACCCACACATTGTTCGTGAGGAATCGAACCTTGGTCTTCGGCGTGAAGAGCAAAGGCTTTAACCACTAAGCCTTCCCTCCGCCCGAACAGAGCCATGCATATTAGTTTGTTTCAACAAAGTGTAATACCCCAAACAAAAACAGGACCAGTCAACATATGTTTCTTATACATTCTTGCATGTTGACGGTATCCGCTATAGGTACGACCTTTGATTTGAAATGGTTTATGAAATTGGTACATTGCAGCTACTCCAAAGACGTATTAAAGGGAGATAACTATCAGTAATAAGCTGAGCTTTATCGATAAAGTGTAATCACCAATATATCATAATTATGCCGAGATAACTATCGTACCTCGAAATCATTGATCTGCATCAGGATGGCAAAGTTGGTGGTGTGGTTGCAGTGACACTGTGACGTCAGGTTGTTTGTTGACGTCATAGTGCATCCATATGTTGACCATGCACTTGTATGAGAAACATGAAAAAGGAAAACATAGGACCCGAAATAGGCATCTGTATACTCAGTGCATGTTTTGAACTGGGTGTAGACTCAAATATGAATTTGGTTATGAAAGGAGGAAACGCCAAAGGTGACTTAAAAACAAAATGTTGACATCATTATGCCTTATCAAAATATTTCAATGAATAAAGAATAATCATTATGACAAATAAAACCTATGATGGAAAATGTATCACATCACATAAACCCAACCCACACCCCCCCACACACCCCGTAGTCCATAAAACTTGCGTTACACCGTTACTCGATTTTGAAGGTGTTCCCTTCCCAAATGTACTGCCATACACATAATTCCCATCAACAGTTTAGACTCACTCAAAACACTCACTATACGTTATGTATATATACTATTCCAAAAAAGAAACGCATTTCCCAGAAATCTGTTGCGAAAATGTTGTATTTTCAAACATGTATAACTTGTCAACAAACAGACTTTAGTACATGATTTTTTACATCAGTTTAGAAGAAGGTAATGTCTATACAACCAAGTGGATAATTTTAGATAACGGAGACGTTGAGCGCGATTGTGACCACGTAGCATGGTCCCAACGTCGGGTCTTCTGGCTCTCAGTCCAATCTCTCTCAACCTGTTCCGTACAGTTTGACCGGATATCCTCAGAAGTCCAGACAACCTGGCTGTTGTGCTCAGACCACAGTTACCCCCCTTAACTTTTACCATGACCCGGAAGTAAAAAATATGAGAATATAGTGCCTTGTTTAAATGGGCTGTTCTGTTTGTGCTGATTTTTTCAGGGTGACTTGTGATAGCTTAAATGAAAGGTAAGACATTGTACTTTATTGCAAAATTTTTGGGTCCACAATCTACTCATGGTATTGACACCAGCCTTCCTTGATTTGACCCCAAGTTCAAGGCTGTCTGGTGTGTTTCTCGGCTCGTAACTTCCGGGTGACCATTGTTTACAGTGGATACAGCAAAATCGACATGGTCGATCCAGGCTCATATTTTGCCGATTAAGTGACAAGTGGCAGGTTGGTCAGCATGCAACAGGAGAACAGCCTACGACCGATATTAATTATGGTGCACTGGCACGTCACTGTAGATAGCAAAGAAGGAAAATAATTGTGGTCTGAGGCCTGATATGGTGAAGGTAGTGCAAGTGTTTACTTTGCTATATGTCTGTTATTTTTTCAAAATATTCACTTGAAACTTTGCATATTTACTGACAGGAACATTTCAAATATGTATACATGTGTTTTCAACTGAAAATATTTTTTTACATTTTTTTATGAATTTATTTCAGTTTTCTGATTGCATATTGTTTTAGTGAGTGAGCGGACGCATCATATTTAGACAGATTGGTTCAATTATGGTGAATGTATGTATCTCTACGCCGCACGTGCCTTTTAGATGCATGTGATACCTAAAATGGCTAATATTCAAGCCTTTTCCAAAGATATAGAGCCAAGTTTGTGAAAAATTCAGTCCCTCAGTGAGGAAAATGGCATATGTCATATGTGGACTGGAGCATGCAAGCACAGTGGGTATGGGGTATTGCGGTATTTTTGCCCCATAGCCTACCAGTGGCGTACTACTCATGCTCACAGGCTGAGTTTTATAGTACACAGGGAAACTTCGACATAGGTGATTACGACATCAGCCATTTGTGCCACAACAGTTAATGCACCTATGTCGAACACCTGTCTGCTTGAACCACACAGCATAAATGCAGACAGAGTGGCCTGTGTAAACAGGGTGTGTGTAAAGGCCATGCACCTTTCCCAGATTGCCTTTGGTATTGAAGTTATAGGAGAACAGAAAAACAAAGGCAAAGTATATGAAAAATACTATATCATATAATATAGTAAAATTTTATTCATATTTCCTGATTTTCACCATTAGTCACAGTTAGTTGTGACATAGCATTTATTCACAACACATAGCTTTAGAGACATTATGATGTATTTAAACTTAAAGTTAAACAGCATCTGTCTTTAGCAAGTAATTAGGACATACAGTTCTGCAGCATCACTGCACATTTTCAATATTTTGAATAAGAATGTTCATGGTTTTGCTGAAACACGGTACAGGGTCTAACTGACCCTTTCTGTAGTCCCCACTCTGCTTGTCAGTCTGTTTAGACTTCAAATGTTCACAGATCTTGCTTCCATGCTGTGTAAGTTTCCTTTCACAACACTGGGGCTTTTCTGATAGTCTTTGTGATAGGTAGCCCCTTTGTCCATTTGTTCAAGTGACCGCACAGCTCGGCTTGAAAGTTTCACCCCAGAATGGTCGCACTTGTCGATTGCTGATGTCCCAGGGCCATTGTTGAGCCTGTGAATTGTAGAAGAAGCCCTCCCAATCATGTTCCTTTGAAAAGTTTACATTCTTTGGCAAAGAAATACTCAGTGATCTATTGGCAGCTTCACATTTCTGTGTGTCTGTGTACAGTTTCATTTGTTCCACCACTTCTACACTTAACTTCATTTTGAGAATTTCATTAAGCAAGTGTTTATCATTGTCATCCATATTGAAATGAGTGATACTGTTGCAGCCGAGGAACATGGATCGCTGCCACCAGCTGTTTGTTACACCTCCTCTACACACAACTGAGTACCGGGCACACCTGGAGCAGTCGCCGCTGTAGCACTTGAGGGTTGCTTCGAGCACTCTTGGTAAGATACTACGAAGTGTTTTCATGTCACCTGCATGATCTTTCATGAGTTCTTTTAGTATCAGGCTGCACCGTGCTTTGACATCCTGGCTCAGCACCTTCTTTGCTTCCATTTTATGTGTACGAGTAGTGCCGGGGAACATATCTGGGTTAAAATCAGCTCTGTAACATTGTCGGAACTGTCCTTGAGCCAAGTGGGTTGGGTCAGCTAGCCTTTGCACCTTCCACATTGGGTCCAACACTTTGAGAGCTTTGTCTACTCCATCTGCAGACTTCGAATCCCCATCGGTTGTGGCATACTTTATGAGTACACCCTGTAGTGCGAGCTGATTACCAATGTCCTCTCCCATTTTGAACTCAGAGAATGGCGTGAAGGCCGACATGTTCGCAGTACAGTCTGGGTGCCCCCCTGGACATTTCACATCCATGCCTTTTGCTTTCAGCCAGGCACCAGTCCAGCAGAGCTTATTCTGGAATGACGCACCGACGATGAACTTCTTGTCAGTAACAGTTTCACAGGCGATGCCGATTGCTTTGTGATGCATTCTGCCCTGGCTTCTTCCTGCTTTGCTATTGTTGTCAAGTTGTATCGGCCATCCATAGCAATGTTCATCTCACACGGCTCAGTACCCCTCTTTCGATTAACTTCCTTCACTAACTCCACCTTTTCTGCCATATCCTTAGTGTTAAGTTCAGTTACAGCCTTAGCCACCTTGTTGGAGGTCCTCTGCATACTGCTCCTGCATGGGGTGTAATGTCCATGTTGGCCATCAGTAACCTCGCTCTCGTATTTCCTATAGGTGTGTCCTGTAGACCCAAGGCAAGTCCCACGTTGGGTGCTGCTGGGTTTGGCCCAGGTTTACCCGTCTCGATTTCTTTGTATAACTTCATTTCAGGTGCTACAAAGTCACATGTGACACATTTCAGTGTTATTTTCCAGCATGCTCCCATTTTCTCTCCTTGGCTATCTGCAGCTGAGGGTCGTCACAGTCACTGGATGTTGACCGATGCAGTCGCAGAGCTGTGTTCCATGCTTCGGCCACCTTTTCATTGTCGACTAGTCGCATACCCTCCAAGTCATCTTTGCTTGACTCTTGTTTCAGGTCATGCTTGCTCGTTGAAGTGGGACGCAGCAGCCTCACTGAAGTAGAGATGCCATCGCAGTCAGGTGTTGACAGCCCAGTGCCATCCAGCCTTGACTTGGTGACCAGGGAGAAGTCTTCTGCACTCAACCTAGTGACTGTCCTGGGTATCTGGGGTGGAGAGGCACTTTCCGACTCTTCCGATTCAAGGGTGAGACCTTTGTTCCAGGGAGTATGGCCTTTGCTGAACTGTGACTTGATTCTCTTGCGGTCGCCTTTCATCGTGATTGTGTCGAATAGAACTAATGAGCTCTTGAGCACAGCATGTACTTATATATCCCATCTCTGTGTGTTGTCACTGGCACTGACAAGCAGGTATATGTATTAGAAAATGTATTGGAAACTCAAGACATACACATGTCTTGTGCCACTAGTGTAAATCGCAGTTGAGCCATACACACCTACTGACACTTTGTCGCGTATTGGCCAGGTGTCAGGTGAGAGTGGACACGCTTGGTGACTCAGCTGCACTTGATTGGTTGTACACATCTGCTTGTGCAGCCAATCAATTTAACGAGGAAAGATAGGGCTTTCTAATGAATAAAAAATTTAACAGTTTCAATTTTCATTTTTGTTGAAAAAATATGAACTTTAATGGAATTATTTTAGTATAAAATGCATGTATGTATATAAAAATAGAGAAAAAATGAAAAAAATGCTTTAATGGACTGAAACCAGTGTCCTTTGATAGCACATGCAATAACAAAAGAGGAACACTTGATGTTTTGTCAATTTCCACCTGGTTATGGAGTTATAGACAAATTAGAATTGTGTTTGAAATTAATTCATGCCCAAAATTAACACTCAAATGCCAGAGATACAGCATGGAGTAAAAGGAGTATAAGTCAAGTTGTGTATGAGTTAGGGCTTTCAAATTTTCTGTGAGCCTTACATAGTGTCTGGGCTTAGTATTGATGAAGTTTTATTTAATTTGCAGACTTTTTGGTGTCCTGATAGGCCTCAGACCACAGTTACCCCTTAACTTTTACCATGACCCGGAAGTAAAATATGAGAATATAGTGCCTTGTTTAAATGGGCTGTTCTGCTTGTGCTGATTTTTTCAGGGTGACTTGTGATAGCTTTAAAATGAAAGGTAAGACATTGTACTTTATTGCAAAATTTTTGGGTCCACAATCTACTCATGGTATTGACACCAGCCTTCCTTTGATTTGACCCCAAGTTCAAGGCTGTCTGGTGTGTTTCGGCTCGTAACTTCCGGTGACCATTGTTTACAGTGGATACAGCAAAATCGACATGGTCGATCCAGGCTCATATTTTGCCGATTAAGTGACAAGTGGCAGGTTGGTCAGCATGCAACAGGAGAACAGCCTACGACCGATATTAATTATGGTGCACTGGCATGTCACCGTAGATAGCAAAGAAGGAAAATAATTGTGGTCTGAGGCCACCTGGCTGTTGTGCTCTCACCCGTGGCAGTACGATTACGCAAATGTAGTACCCGGATGTACCGATCTTGGGCTGCAGTGGTGACTCGAGGTCTGCCTGTATGGGGACGGTCATTTGTTAAACCTGTTTGGTTGTAACGAGCTGCAAGCAGTGATATCGTGCTCAGACTAACATTCAGACGCCTGGCAACAGAAAATTGGTAATCTCCAGCGTGCATTCTTTCAATGGCGATGTTCCGTGTCGCAGCGTCAAGACGTGGCGTAGTGATTTGACCTTGAAACTCCTTCAAAACGAATGCCGATTGCCGATTTCCGAAAGTAATCTGGATTTTTATAGCCAGACAGTGCATGCTCTTTGCTGCACAGTTTCAACTGGAAGGTGCGATGCGTTTTTAATTTTAATAAGAAATCTCATCAAAATCAACATTTTCAGGTAAAGTCGATTTTTCACTTGTGCAATAGTGTAAAATCATGTTATCAACACTTTTGTTACATATTTTGACGATTGTTTGAACACAACTGGTAATTAATAGATTTATAAAAATACAAAACGCCTATGCGTTTCTTTTTTTGGGATAGTATATATATATGGTTACATCAAAGATTGATTTCTCCACTAACTTGGGGGAACCAAATGCGAACCTTATGCAGATGAATTGCACGAGGATCATGCATCAAATTGCTGAATAGCATGTGCAAATATCGTGCATGTGAACAGCTGCGTTTTGGTGTAAAAGTTTGTTATGAATTCGCCAATTTTCACTGAATTTTATCATTTATTGAACTCATGACAATAATCTTTTCAACGTTACGAATTTGTTTTACAATACATCAGTTCATGTGTAAACAGTACCTTTAAACAGTAAGGAATATTTGGCAAAATTTAGTTTAGAACAGTCGCCTGAAGTAAGTGCAGTTACACTAGTGAGTCTAAACTTTTGACGGGAAGTACTTTGAATATTATTCCAATCCCAACTTTGCTTGTTAGTTATTCCTAAGTACAATCACAGACAACACAGTGTACCTTTATATATTTCTATATTTGCTTGTTAGTTATTCCTAAGTACAATCACAGACAACACAGTGTACCTTTATATATTTCTATATTTGCTTGTTAGTTATTCCTAAGTACAATCACAGACAACACAGTGTACCTTTATATATTTCTATATTTGCTTGTTAGTTATTCCTAAGTACAATCACAGACAACACAGTGTACCTTTATATATTTCTATATTTGCTTGTTAGTTATTCCTAAGTACAATCACAGACAACACAGTGTACCTTTATATATTTCTATATTTGCTTGTTAGTTATTCCTAAGTACAATCACAGACAACACAGTGTACCTTTATATATTTCTATATTTGCTTGTTAGTTATTCCTAAGTACAATCACAGACAACACAGTGTACCTATATATATTTCTATATTTGCTTGTTAGTTATTCCTAAGTACAATCACAGACAACACAGTGTACCTTTATATATTTCTATATTTGCTTGTTAGTTATTCCTAAGTACAATCACAGACAACACAGTGTACCTTTATATATTTCTATATTTGCTTGTTAGTTATTCCTAAGTACAATCACAGACAACACAGTGTACCTTTATATATTTCTATATTTGCTTGTTAGTTATTCCTAAGTACAATCACAGACAACACAGTGTACCTTTATATATTTCTATATTTGCTTGTTGGTTATTCCTAAGTACAATCACAGACAACACAGTGTACCTTTATATATTTCTATATTTGCTTGTTAGTTATTCCTAAGTACAATCACAGACAACACAGTGTACCTTTATATATTTCTATATTTGCTTGATGGCAGCTGTTTACATGTGTGATGACTGTGAGTGAAAACGTCTTATTGACCGAGGGTTTTTCCAATACTTGGTAGACTTCTACCAAACCTTACGTGGGTTGTAAATGAACTGTATTGAGTTAACGTGGTGAGATACAAACAGACCTGGAACTGTTATCCCAGAACACACACTGCAGGACATGTCCTCCCTTCTCTTGTTCGCGGAACTGCTGTCAATCAACACAGTGAACTATATTCAGATGCAAAAGTTATTATGACATGAAACGTTTGGTAATGGTGTGAATGAATTGGTTTTGAACCAGAGAATGAGTGCTAAAACGATCGAAGAGACGCAGCCAAGCAGTTGTTCTAATTGCACGAAATTTGTAAGAAAAATGTGAAAATTCGACCGCTAAGAATTTTGTGATGGAGAGTGTCTGCGAAGTATCATTTTCTCTATTGTTTTACTGTTCAGTTTTGAAAGGGTTTTGAAAGTGGCGTCAAGGTAACCGATTAAAGATGAAGGTACACTATACACACTATTTTGTGACCGTCATTAGAAGCGCAGGCTGACTTTTTATCATATATTTGAAGTTGAAGTTTGAAACCTTCATAAATAATTCACTTGAGAATAGTGTTTCGTCATCTTTGCCGTAAATATGACTCACGGTCATTGAAACATACGATACAACACACCTACCTCAACTGCGCTGTTCGTGTGTAGGAGGTTGAATGTGTGAGTGAGACTGACATGTCGCTCCCTGCTGTAGGCGATCAGGGACAACACTGGGCTGAGCACCAATCCACTGCTGTTGCTGTTACAACACATACTGATTTGATATGAACACTGACTGTCTTACGCCATTACATGTCCTCTATTCTAATATTCGTTTCCGAAGTGAAACAATATCAAACCTTTGCCGTGGTACTACGTGATATTACAGAGTGGGGGTTCCCGGAGCGTGTGCGTGTGCGTGTGCGTGTGCGTGTGCAAAATGCTACTAAGTCTGTGATATGCCACAAAGGCCATATGTCACATTATGATTAATATGCATTGTGTGTCCTTTGGCACATGTATTCACCTTCAACTGTAGAATAACAATTGACATTTAGAATCAGTAATTAGGATGCATGATACACAAGGTCCTCCCAAAAGTTAGACGTCCCAAAAGTTTGACGCGTTAAAACAACAAAGGTTATGGTTGGTTGCACTGAGGTTCACTACACTGTTACCTTCGTTCATTAATGGACTAGTCCAAATGCACTAATCCAAACACAAAGAGAAGAGATTATGGATAATGACAATGACTTTATTTTATATTGTTTATTTTGGTAAAACAATGTTAGGAAGGAAGTAACTCCATCAGGTTAATGAAAACTCAAAAACATAAAAAATCTATAATCCTGTTTTGATCAAAGTGAACATCGTAAAAACAAGCATGCAAACTCTCTGATCCTAGTAAGAATATTTCTGTGTTTCTTATTTGTTAACATAGTTAAATATTTTTCTGGCTCTAAAAGGGTTTTAAATTGTCTGTACAGCTTATACCTTGAACTTTCTTCAATTGTGCTATTCCATACTGTATATACATGTCAACTGCAACTTGTTTAAACATTTGAAGAAACTGGGATTCATTACCAACACTTTGAAATAACCAAACATAACCAAATCCATATGAAAACAATAAATTACGCACAGATGAAACATAGTTATCATAACCACAATTATCGAAATACATTAGCATATCATATGCTTTTTTAATTCTTTGTTGATGCATATTTACAAGTTTAAGCCAGTATTTTATGAAACGCCGTTGTGCATTTATATACATTGGGTAACGTCCACATTCACCATAAACAATTACATTTGGTGCTTGGGGACCAACATTTAAGAACCTCTTACATGCATTTAAATGTACAATTTCAATCTTATAAAATGTATTAATACCCCATACTTCGGCACCATACAAACGGATTGGTTGAATTTGGGTATCAAATATTTTGAAAAATACAGAATAGTCAACATTATCTAATTTATATAAGTGGTGTAGTACTTCTAGAAGTGCCCTTTTACCCCGAGATGATAAATCTAATATACATTTATTGAATTTACAAGAAGATGAAAAAGGAATACCTAGATATCTATATGAATCAACTGTTAAGACACGTTCACCTTTATAACACCATTTCTTATTTCTCGCTAAGGGTTCACCTCTTCTTAAAACAACAATTTGAGTTTTCTCTAGGTTAACTGTCAACATTAGTATTCTGATCAAAGTATTTCTGTTAAAATGTGAAAACCATCTCGTTAGTGTATGGGACAGGTTCATTATATCAGTGGGTAAGACTAGGTTGTAATCACAGTCACGCCTGATTGATTTGTCTGACAATTGGGATGTATGACTTTTGGGACGTCTAACTTTTGAGAGTAAACCTGTAAAAAACATACTTGTACCATACGTGAGAATGATACCCAACGTTCTACCTACAATCGTACACAGAACACTGTGTACAGACACTATTTTTGTGTGATGTGTGTGCGTGAATTGTTGCGTGCGTGTCTACAGGTGTGTGTGAGTGGGTGGTCTAGCTGCAGGGGCATGTTTGTTGACGTGGTAGTAGTCAAACCTGACAACGCTGTGTCCTACCTGTCTACGAGTGCAGCGTCCAGCACTGGCACCTTCATCAGTACGATAGCAACGACGACATCTGCAACATGTGCAACGGCATTGGCTACATTTATATTGCCAAAGCAGAGACGTTACACATTTTGTGTTGACTAACGTGGACGTCAGCAGCAACGTACCCAGCAATAGTTCAGCAACATCAAGACGTCGTGTACATACTCGACAGTGATTGACATAATGAGCAACTTCCAACGCCGTAGCGATTTGAAGACACGTGGGGTTGAGGCAGAATAGTTTCCACGCCGCCAGCACATATAGCAAGAATAGTGCCACGTGTGATAACAAAGAAACAACGGACCTACCTTAGAACAAGTCCCATGATTTATGGCCATTATAACCTAAGGTCATTATAACATATGGTACCCGTGATGGTCCGGGTTAGAATATTGATATTCAGTAACCCATGCTTGTCGTAAGGGGAGAAGTATACACAATGGGGTACGGGACCAGGTCCCTAATACCGTAGCTCCATTGTGTATACTACTACTGAGGTGCATGCAAACTTTGATGAAAATCGGTCGAATGGTTTCTGAAATATTGACTTTTAAGTGAGCATGGGGTCGGTCAGGAAAAGGCAAAATGTCCAACTTTTTGTCTTAATTAAGTCTTAATTAATCTAATGAAGTCATCGAGAGTGTTCCAAATGCCGTTTTGCTATAGCGTAATCATCTGCCGAGATGCATGCAAAATTTCACGAAAATCAGTCGAATAGTTTTGGAAATAATCACTTTTTAGTGAGCATGTCGAAAAGCTTACAATCCAACGTACTTGCTATATATTATCGAGGCGAGAGGTGTTTTCAGCCGAATGAAACGCAGCTCTAGGCAGTTCCCCCGAGCTGCCTTGCTACCATCTCGTTAGGGCGTACTTGTAGCGATGTGTGAGCTCTCTGAAGTTAAATGAAACGCAGGTCTAGGCAGTCATCACCTCGCTACCGTCTCGGGGGTTGCTTTGAGCGATCGCCGTCGACAAGTATATGTGTGTGTGTGCGTGTGTGTCTCGGCTCGGCTATGATGATGCACGGCCGGCTGACTAGCGAGGCTACAGATGTCTGAAGGTGAATGAAACGCATCTCTCAGCAGTTCCTCTCGGGGGGGTCGCCTCACTGCCGTCTCGATAGCACCGAGCGAGCGCAGTGGGCGAGTCGCAGTGAGTGTGTCTCGGCTCGGCTTGTATATCCGACCGTCTGGCTGGCTGACTGGCTGATTACGTCATGTTGATTTCCACTACAGTCCGTTTGAGTCAGAAACGGACTGATGAATTGCAAATTTTATCATTGTACAAAATTGTCACATAAATATAAATAGTACACATGTTTATCATTTACTAATACCCACTCCACCAAAAAGTTTCCTATCATTTGAAAATATCTGTCCGGGGTGACTCCACAGGGGACAAAATCTAAAGACCTGTCGGTTCCTTCCGTCGTAGTATAATCTTAAAGGGATGACAAAAGTTGCCTGTTTGATCTGAGCAACATAGCTACCTCGTTGACACAGTTTTGCCAATTTTCAGTCGTGATTTTGTTAAGGGATTTCTTGACCTCTACGTCACGTAATCAATGATCTGGCAACCTTTGACAATACCCCATATCATTTCAATGGGGTTAAGGTCACAGTGATAGGGTGGAAGTCGCAGAATATCGTGACCCTTACTTTTTATGTAACTGTCAACTTTGAAGAAAGGTTCACCTTTGTGGGTTTTATGATCTCATATAGCTGAGGCTGCGTTGCCTTTGAAGGCCGTACGATCTGAAATTTGTTGAGCCATGATATCATATCACCTTTTCGACTGTTCGATGTTGTGGCTTTACTGTCGGGTCCTGCATGCTGTGGTATGGGGCATTGTCCATTACGATAAAAGACTTCTCTGGTAGAGCTGGTACCAACTTGTTTTTAACCCAATTGAGGAAAACCGCACCATTCATCTCGGAATGGTAGTCTGTTATCTGTGGACTTTGCCCTGTATACCAAGTCGCAGCCTGGGAGAAAGCCTTTGATGGAGCAACCAGCATGGAGAATGATTAGTCTATCTCGTTTCCCCAGAGGCAGCTTTCTACCTGACCCCTTATCACCCCCATCGGGTAGACACTGACTGCTTGCAGTGTGCGAGGCATTGACGCAGGTCTCGTCCAAGTACACTGGCTCGAACCCTTCCTCGTGCTTCTTCTTTATAACCCTGAGAAAATTATTTCTCAAGTGAACGATATCAGGGCTTTCACAGAGTACTGACCTATTCTCCCCCGAAAATTTCTGAAAACGATATCCGAAGAGTGTAAGAGTCGCCAGAGTGTGTACTTTGATACTCTGAGGTTGTGTTCTTGCTTCAAATGCTTTTTTAAAATTTTCAGCGCCGTGTATTTGTTTTCAGAATAGAGCTTGTTGATAGACTGCCTTACAAGGTTCTTTTGAAAGTTTTCCAAATGTTTTAATTTGTGTGATTTTGACATGACCCCTACCTGCTTCGCAACACCCTAACAATGTTTGTGTTCCAGAACATTTGTCAGTACCCTTGCTGATACTCCTAAAGCTTTTGCTGCCCACTTATGGAATTTATTAATGGCATAAAATGGTTTGCCCCTTGCTGTCGACTCCTGGTTCGTTGAATCCGCACGTGTCCCCGAGGTCGGAGATCGCTATGTTGGCGCATTTTCTAACGCGTGTTCGTGGATCTTGAGACTCCGTCATTGTCGTATGTGCAGTGTCGCGCTGAGATACCCTATACTTACGGGATTGTGTTTAATGTCTAAAACCGATATTTTCAATTCCATGATGTTGCCTCGGATTAATTTCTTGTACTGCTGCGACGAAAACGATTGGGTTCTGCCGTCATTGTAGTTTTCCGTTTTCAACGGCACGGCTCTCAGCAGTGTGGAAGGTCGTTCGCCTTGAACGTTGTCGGTTGTGCTCAGCTGATCAAGATGAATGCACAGTTCGCGATACGGAACAAGATCGGGTAATTTTGTGCCGGTCATGGTGGTTTCCTGTGGTATGTCGTTCCACGTAAACCGGAGCGTTCCACGGCTAACATGACCGTGCCGTTGGAGTTGCTCATTTTGAGTTAAGCTCCCACGGGTTTGAAGATTTCTTCATTGAGCGAGCACATGCTGTAGTAGCCGTCTGATATTTGGTTGCGGGCGTTATTGACGAACAGCCTGTTGTTTCTGCCGTTGATGTTGGTCCATCGCGGGTAGTAGGTGATGTCGCAGAGCTCGACTTGGAGCTGACCCAACGTGTTATCGATCGCGTGCAGCAGCTGAATGGACTCGCTGCTCGTAATTCCCGGAAGCGTCACGTACATATTGAACTGTGGGTATGTATACTAAAATGAAATATATAACAATTCAATATGTACAAACCGGGAGTGTTTTATTCTAAAAGTGATAATATAAGTGCTACCAATCTGATGCAATCGAGTATTGTGGTGGATGCAAAGGATGGTTTACATTTCATAGTTCGGTTCATCGATGTGTTTATAAATTACGGGTTTTCGGTCATGAATGTGAAAACGGTACACGCTTGGTTTAACAACCTGATGCAGTTTTGGCAGAATCAATTCAATTTCGCCGTGTGGTGCGCGACGACCGGGTGTGGCGTGACGTTGAACGACACTCGTCGTGATGAACTGAGTTGGTCTGTATTCTCGTTTCACCAGATCAGACATATCCTGAAAGAAATCAGCGCCCCGATTTCACAGGATAAGGCGTGGAATGCCGTAAACAATTCATACGATTGACGTGCATACGAACGCGTTTGCGGTGAATTCAGACTAGATCTGAAGATGGTCGATTGGCGTTTGCCGGGTCCGAAACACGGTTTGGGAATTCCCATTGTTGACAACATGTCTCTCGTGGAAGCCAGCAAACAGCTGGTGAAAGATTGGGGTTACAAGTCGTATCATTACGTCACGACGAACGAGTGGAACGACGATTACATGGCTTTCAATGACAGCAAGGATTACCGCATTTGGAGGTTTGAGCTGGGACCCGCGGACAATTGGAAAATGTTCATGCTGGACACTTCGAAAGGGTTTACTCGTGCCGGTGTCCTCAGATTGAACGATTCGACATGAACGTTTATGTGGGCCATGCTGGGCGCTCAGACGCAAATGCATTCCAGCATGGTTGGTTGTGAAGGGATGGCTTACGACGCGCAGAAACAGTTCATGGCTAACGTCGAGGATGCCATTGCTAGAGGGTCGATCTACCAAGTGCCAGCGAACGCTATGAAAACGCGCTGGAATACGCCCGTTCGAAAGTCGACTACGAGTTCGGCGCGGGATTGTACATGGCTCAGAGCGACATGCAACTGTAGTTATGGGCTACAACAACGAAATCGTCATCGCCATCGGCGATCAAAAGTTGGGCTTGAACCCGGGCGTCAATAACGCGAGTCGAGTCATGCCGCAGTATGAAAACGGGCATTGTGGCACCGACACCGGAAGAAGTAGAACCACGACGACGACAGCAGCAGCAGCTGCCCCCGCACATGCAGGCAAACAATCAGCCGTATGTTGGTCGCAAAACGGCGGCGGGATCGCGGTCAGACTGTGTCTTATTTGGATGATAATTCCTTAGCTGCGACGTACACCAGACCCGCCACGGCGACGACAAAAGCCCACAGGTTTTGACCGAGCCACGTGACCGTTTCGACAAGAAGCCTAACAACCAGGAAACGATGCTGCCCAAGTTGCGCGGGCACGCCGATTGCCAAGAACGTCATCTTGAGACCAAAGATGTATTCAATCAAGAAAGCCGACGACGATGAAATCCGAAAGGCGAAAGGCGTCAAAAAACATCTGGTGAAATTCACATCAAGCACGCCAGATTCAAGGAAGCCCTGTTCAAGAATAAAACGTTCAAACACCAAACGAACATGCTGAGAAGCGACGGACACAGGATATACGGACTGAGAATCAACAAGACCTGGCTGTCTCCCATGGACATGAAACGATGGATCGCCATCGACGGAGTCACCACTTAAGCGTACGGACTCCACCAACACACACACACACGCGCGTATCAAATAATTGAACGCTTACACACACATGCGTACATATATCATGGACAAAAATTTATTACATCCCGCGAGGGTACTGGAAAGGCGCGAAACTCAACAAAGCCGCTCGAGCTTGGAAGAGAAAGCCAAAGCCTGGCTTTAAAAAACAAGCCATCTGGCATGTCTACCTGATGGGGCCTCGATACATCCCGAGAAGAAAATTCGACATTTCAACGCCGAATCACGTCCACCAAACCGACCTCCTGTTTCTCCCTCACGACAGGGTGAGGAGAAAAACCTACAAGTTCGCCCTGACCATCGTCGACGTCGCCAGTCTCTACAAGGAAGCCAAACCGTTGATTACCAAAGATTCGAATGCATATACACTCAGTCGCTTGACCTGGCCTGCCGTATTGCAAGTCGATCCCGGACGATGCCCCGCACGACGTCCAGGTGAGATGAGGTATAGCGGGAGCTCACCGTAGCCAAGCCATTGTTGAGAGATTCAATCGCACCCTAGCCGAACGCCTGTTCTCGCACCAATACTTGCTGGATTTAATCGATCCCGGAAACAGAAACACGGAATGGGTTGTACGCTTGCCACGAGTGGTGGATGTCATCAACAACGAAGTCAACAGACTCGTGGGTAAAAGCCATCAAAATGAAATCAGTCGAATCGTCACCAGCGGCCGCGGCACGTCACGATAAAACAATGAAAACATTACCGGACCGTGTCAGCGTTAGGTACTTATACCAGCTGGGCGAATACGAGGGAGACAGCAGAAAACGCGCCACCGATCCGATATGGTCCATGAAAACGTACAACATCGACCTGGTTGACATCAAAGACGGCGAACCGAACTTGTACTACTTGAAAGAAGGGCCGCCGAGACCATTCGTCCGAGAGGAGTTGATGATCGTACCTCACAACACAGTCCCTTACACATCACCAGCCGTGTGATGATAGTTTCTCGTCATGATTTTTTTATCAGTCTTGCATGCCTATTTTTCTGCTTAATGTAGCGTGTCAGCCAGCCACCCGTACACCAAGCCGAGAGAGACACACGCACACGCACTGCGACTCGTCCGCCCACAGCGCTCGGAGGAGCAACCACCCCCGAGGCGACCCGAGCTTTTTTCCCGACCGACCCCATGCTCACTTAAAAGTCAATATTTCAGAAACTATTCGACCGATTTTCATCAAAGGGATTAGGGACTTCCCAAGGACTCAATTTAAAAAATTGAGTCCTTGGGGGGACCAGGTCCCGTATCCCGACTCACCACGTTGTATCTACCACATATACATGGTACAAGTGCGTGGGTAACGAGTCACCACGTTGTACCTACCACATATACATGTTACAGGTGACCCGTGAAGATCCGGGGTAGAATAGGTCTTCAGCAACCCATGCTTACCACAAAAAGCGACTATGCTTGTCGTAAGAGGCGACTAACGGGATGGGGTGGTCAGGCTTGCTGACTTGGTTGACACACGTCATCGGTTCCCAATTGCGCAGATCGATGCTCATGCTGTTGATCACTTGATTGCCTGGTCCAGACTCGATTATTTACAGACCGCCGCCATATAGGTGGAATATTGCTGAGTGCGGCGTAAAACTTAACTCACTCACTATAACATATGGCTAAGTCTAAACGTCCTAAATTGTCCTGACCTGAACACGGCATTGGGAACCGGTAGGCTAGTCATCTGACGCATCTAAATTTGCTGCCCAGAATTGCGCCCCCTAGGTACGCCAGGCGCGTTTTGAACCCTGGGTGAACACCGGTTCCCACAGAATGATTCTGGGTTTGCTGGCACCAAAGCGGGAAACCTCTCAGACCTGCATGTCCTAACACGCCGTGACTTAACTGAAACACTGTCAGTTCAAAACAACTTACTCACTCAATGTATTGAAATAGTTATCATTGATAACTGTTGGCTGAATGGAGCGGTATGCGTAGAAATTCATACGCGGGGAAGAGGTAGTAAAATCAGCTGCTACGACTTGAAAGGGAATATTTGTCTGAACTGACAATGAATGTTCACAATGTTTCAACCATGTGATAAGGCCACTTACCGTCGTTGAATGATGTACTGAGCGGCACTGTGGGGCGGATACTTGTTATGCTTCCAAGACCATTTTTGCCATGGTACCGGAAGTACTTCATACCATTTCTAGGAACACGCTTAATCAATATTTCTGAAATCAAGCGAGTGTAACTGATAAATTAGTCATAGTTAAACATGTTACCATGTCTCTCTATCATAGTTAATGTTCAGCTGTTACTCAAATCTCATTACTCATTTCCTTTCTTGCCAACTGGTTCTTGTTGGTCGTTTGTAGATATATAAATCTAAATCAAATTAGGCTCTGAAAAAGTGACGGTAAGAAAAAACAGAATTAATTTCAAATTCTCTATTTTTCAATAAATATTTTAGTGATTTAGTTGTCACAATAAAGCTAGATATAAGCATTTGTATTGAATTAGCGTTTATGAAACGTTTAGCTCAGACGAAAAACTCCCCATAAAAACAGTTCTGTGATTATGTGCTTCGGTAGAACTAAGATATTTTAAACTGGTATTATTTACATCATTCCTAAGTTTTGGGGGTCTGCGGACCCGGAAACCAATCTATAAACAATCTGCTGCTGTACATTAGAATTACCTTCATTATCGTTTTATGTCACATGTTTTAATATAACAGTTGCCAATTTGACATTTACCAATGCCCAGCTGTTTATCCAAAGTCTGTACATTGTACATGAACGAGGAAGCAGCTCACCAACATGAGAGTACGTCCTCCTGATGACGTCGCGAAGGGGCAGGTGCTTGATGTTGCTGTTCAGGAACACCTCCACAATGGATATGACGTCACACAGGCTCTGCAGTGTTCATATCCAACTTCAGCACACAACGAGTGAGTGAGTTTAGTTTTACGCCGCACTCAGCAATATTACAGCTATATGGCGACGGTTAGCACTCAACGAAGCCAAATTATGTATATGTACGTATACATGCATTTGTGCATATACAAATAAGAGAGAAGGTATTTACAACAATATGTGTGTTACAGCGGCGTGGGTCACGCCTCACCATACTGTATCTACCACAATATACGAGTGTTACAGGTGCGTGGGTCACACCTCACTATGTTGTATCTACCACAATATACACGTTACAAGTGCGTGGATAACGACTCACCACGTTATATCTACCACATATACATGTTACAAGTGCGTGGATAACGACTCACCACGTTATATCTACCACATATACATGTTACAAGTGCGTGGATAACGACTCACCACGTTGTAACTACCACATATACATGTTACAAGTGCGTGGGTCACACCTCACCATGTTGTATCTCCCACATATACAAGTTACAGGTGCGTTGGTAACGACTCACCACGTTGTATCTACCACATATACATGTTACGGGTGCGTGGGTAACGACTCGACATGTTGTATCAACCACATATACATGTTACAGGTGCGTGGGTAACTACTCACCATATTGTACCTACCACATATACATGTTACAGGTGCGTGGGTAACGACTCACCATGTTGTATCTACCACATATATATGTTACAGGTGCGTGGGTAACAACTCACCATGTATCTACCACAATATCTATGTTACAGGTGCGTGGATTACGACTCACCACGTTGTATCTACCACATATACATGGTACAAGTGCGTGGGTAACGACTCACCACGTTGTACCTACCACATATACATGTTACAGGTGACCCGTGAAGATTCGGGGTAGAATAGGTCTTCAGCAACCCATGCTTGCCACAAAAAGCGACTATGCTTGTCGTAAAAGGCGACTAACGGGATGGGGTGGTCAGGCTCGCTGACTTGGTTGACACATGTCATCGGTTCCCAATTGCGCAGATCGATGCTCATGCTGTTGATCACTTGATTGTCTGGTCCAGACTCGATTATTTACAGACCGCCGCCATATAGGTGGAAAATTGCTGAGTGTGGCGTAAAACTAAACTCTCTCAGTCACATGTTACAGGTGCGTGGGTAACAACTCACCATGTCGTATCTCCCACATATACATGTTACAGGTGCGTGGGTAACGACTCACCATGTTGTATCTACCACATATATATGTTACAGGTGCGTGGGTAACAACTCACCATGCATCTACCACAATATCTATGTTACAGGTGCGTGGATTACGACTCACCACGTTGTATCTACCACATATACATGGTACAAGTGCGTGGGTAACGAGTCACCACGTTGTACCTACCACATATACATGTTACAGGTGACCCGTGAAGATCCGGGGTAGAATAGGTCTTCAGCAACCCATGCTTGCCACAAAAAGCGACTATGCTTGTCGTAAGAGGCGACTAACGGGATGGGGTGGTCAGGCTCGCTGACTTGGTTGACACATGTCATCGGTTCCCAATTGCGCAGATCGATGCTCATGCTGTTGATCACTGGATTGTCTGGTCCAGACTCGATTATTTACAGACCGCCGCCATATAGGTGGAAAATTGCTGAGTGTGGCGTAAAACTAAACTCTCTCACTCACATGTTACAAGTGCGTGGGTAACAACTCACCATGTCGTATCTCCCACATATACATGTTACAGGTGCGTGGGTAACAACTCACCATGTTGTATCTACCACATATACATGTTACAGTTGCGTGGGTAACGACTCACCACGTTGTATCTACCACATATACATGTTACGGGTGCGTGGATAACGACTCACCATGTCGTATCTACCACATATACATGTTACAGGTGCGTGGGTAACGACTCACCATGTTGTATCTACCACATATATATGTTACAGGTGCGTGGGTAACAACTCACCATGCATCTACCACAATATCTATGTTACAGGTGCGTGGATTACGACTCACCACGTTGTATCTACCACATATACATGGTACAAGTGCGTGGGTAACGAGTCACCACGTTGTACCTACCACATATACATGTTACAGGTGACCCGTGAAGATCCGGGGTAGAATAGGTCTTCAGCAACCCATGCTTGCCACAAAAAGCGACTATGCTTGTCGTAAGAGGCGACTAACGGGATGGGGTGGTCAGGCTCGCTGACTTGGTTGACACATGTCATCGGTTCCCAATTGCGCAGATCGATGCTCATGCTGTTGATCACTGGATTGTCTGGTCCAGACTCGATTATTTACAGACCGCCGCCATATAGGTGGAAAATTGCTGAGTGTGGCGTAAAACTAAACTCTCTCACTCACATGTTACAAGTGCGTGGGTAACAACTCACCATGTCGTATCTCCCACATATACATGTTACAGGTGCGTGGGTAACAACTCACCATGTTGTATCTACCACATATACATGTTACAGTTGCGTGGGTAACGACTCACCACGTTGTATCTACCACATATACATGTTACGGGTGCGTGGATAACGACTCACCATGTCGTATCTACCACATATACATGTTACAGGTGCGTGGATTACGACTCACCATGTTGTATCTACCACATATACATGTTACAGGTGCGTGGTTAACGACTCACCACGTTGTATCTACCACATATACATGTTACACGTGCGTGGATAACGACTCACCATGTTGTATCTACCACATATACATGTGACAGATGCGTGGATAACGACTCACCACGTTGTATCTACCACATATACATGTTACAGATGCGTGGATAACGACTCACCACGTTGTATCTACCACATATACATGTTACAGATGCGTGGGTAACGACTCACCATGTTGTATCTGTGCCAGTGCTTACTGTAGCTGCCCTCTATGAAAAAGTTCAGTATCCGAAAGAAGTTCTGAAGTAAAATAAACATTGATCAGCAAAACCACAGAATGAACGCCAGAGTTAAACTAAAGTGAAACCAAAACTATATTGACAGACACATGTTAGTCCCATGTTAGTCTACCTCGAAGTTCGTCTTTGCTTGCTGTGACGGAGACATTGTGATGGCAATACGAAGATGGAGGAATAGCTTGAACAATGCTTGGTATGTCACTTCTGGTTTGAGATCGCCATCTTGAATATGATTCATAAGGCAATCCAACGGCTGATCCGATTCGCTGCACTGAAACACATACATATTGTTTTGGTACTCAATCAATCAAATTTATTCCGTATTTTAGGCCACATGGCCCATAGTACAATTATACCACAATAGTTGTCACATGACCAAAAATATGTTAAGAAGATCTAAAGCTAAATATTTTTAGCAAATATATATATTTTAAACGTAGTATATTTACATCAGGTGTGTTTTATATTTACATCAGGTATGTTTAATATTTGTTGTAATGTTAATCCTACTTTACAATATTTTTTGGATGGACAAGAAGTATTCGTTATGGAGAGGAGAATATCTATTACAAATGAAGAAAACATTGTATTCATTTTCTACAACATTCATATCACTGTGCAAACAAATAGATTCTATATGAGAATTGTCATTGACTTTCTTTTGACGTTGTTGATTAACTCTGAAATCAAGGAGAGATATACGAAATTTACACATCGACCTAACTAAGTTTCTATAATGAATCCAGGTTTGAATTGATCTTCAGTAAGCCATGCTTGTCGTAAGAGGCGACTAACGGGATCGGGTGGTCAGTCTCGCTGACTTTGTTGACACATGTCATTGTATCCCAATTGTGTAGATCGATGTGCATGCTTTTGATCACTGGATTGCCTGATCCAGACTCGATTATTTACAGACCGCCGTCATATATTCCAGCTATATGACGGCGGTCTGTAAATAATCGAGTCTGGACCAGACAGTCCAGTGATCAACAGCATGAGCATCGTTCAACGCAATTGGGATACGATGTCATGTGTCAACCAAGTCAGCGAGCCTGACCACCCGGTCCCGTTAGTCGCCTCTTACGACAAGCATGGCTTACTGAAGATCAATTCTAACCAGGACCTTCACGGGTTTGAAATATATGATCCATATGGTAGTACTGGTATTGTGGAACTGACATTTAATTACTGTAACGTATAGCTCACCAGACAGTTTTTCAATGTAAAAGTATTAGTCTATCAGTTGTGGAACTTCTTTCACAGTGTAATATATATACTGCAATTAGTTTTTGAACTGCACGACTATATTTCATTTGTCGAATGATACCAACCAGTGCGAAACTATCGTTATGGTCAAAATCCATATTCTCCGTGAGAGCAGGACTCTGGAAGGTCGAAGACATTCTTCTCTTTGCTGTTTCTTTGGATGGCATGGTGGACTGTATCTCCTTTAGACGTGGATCTGACGGTATTCCGGTTGGCGGAGGTGCATGTCGTGCTGCTGTTGCTGTTGAAGAAGTGGAAGTTGTAGTTAGTGTCTGAGCATGCGCAACAGCTCGGGTCGATGTAACCCCGCTACGAGGCGCAGATGTGCACCTCGGGTATGGCGGCGTGCACGTGAGGATGAGGTGGTAGTCTGTGCAGCGGAGTAACGCCTCGTTGTAACAGCATTCATGAGCGTTCACGTGGAACAAGTGAGAATGACAGCGTCTGGATCTACGGGTGCGGACATGCGCAGGCAATAAGGAGTGAATGTGCGCAGGCAGGCGGCGGCGAGTCAGCGAACGAGGGCGCATCGGCAGCTCTGCAATAATAAACATTGTAGTGATCTGATCATGAATGTTTGTTTGTGGGTGCATCAGTAAACAGGTATGTCAATAAACAAAATAAACATCAGTCATTATTTACTGAAGGTGTTGGCCAGAGGGCAATCCGAGTTGGTCACCAGCAGCATTTTCTGGTAAGATGGATTGGCTGGTGAATCTCTGTTTACCTAGTTGGCTGTGTTTCAGTGAACACGAACTGTGTGCTTTCTTCGAGACCAGTCACTGGATATTCTAGTCCATATTTCCTAATTTTCGGGCCGCTGAAATATTGGTGTCGCGTTTAGGAACATACGTACCATGTCCATGGGCGGATCCAGGAATTTTGAAAGAGGGGGTGGGTGGGTGGGTGGGGTTGATCCCCTGAAAGCCCCATTGGCTCCGCCAACGCAAAAAAAATCTTCAGTGTGGTCTTAAGTCATTTTCAAAGGGGGGTCGAACCCCTGACCCCCCTCTGGATCTGCCAATGATGTCTGTTCGTCTCCTCCCACGATGTATAGCGGTTGCGTTGCCTGTAGCAGACTCGATTATTTACAGACCGCCGCCATATAGCTGGAATATTACTGAGTGCCGCGTAAAACTCGCTCACTCACTCAAATAATCATCGGAATTTTGTAACATTTTAAAACAATGTCTATTGTAAAAAATGCCGTTCCTTTAGTCCATCGTGTGTATTGTGATACTTTCTTTTGAGTTGTTTCGAATTCCTTCAGCGGTCTGTCTGATTCCTGAAAACAAAATGCTTGACCATATCTAGCGTTTCAAACACCAAGCTGACCATCTTGGAAATATTGCGTCCATCTATTACACAGCGGAGTAGCTCAGTAATGAACGCAATGCGCCCCGAAGAGTTGCGTCCCTTTGGAGCTCCAGAAACTGAAGATTGCGGTTTCAATTCAAGATTGACACTGATTGTGAAACTAGCTTTGTCAGTTTATGAGACCCACATTCGTGAAAGTCACACAAGTGGAAATACCTCAGACGTGTACTATATTTTGTTTGTCCCATACACAAAGCTGACAAGCCGTCATACAGCCGGAATATTGTTCAAATCGGCGTTTATCTCACTCATTCACCTAATTTAGGAACATAGACCATTTATAAAATATATATATGTCAGAAACGAGGTATATACAGTTCAAACTCACTGGATTGTCGTGTCCAACCTGAGGTCACCGTGGTGCTGTCAACTACCTCGACAGCCTCAAGCACGCTGGAAGTAGTGTGTTCTGTCCGTGGATGCGCAGTACTCATTGTCAGGTGTGCCGGGAACGTAAGCGGGTTACCTCCAGCTGACGTCGGGTCTCCAGTGACGGTGATGGCTGACGTCGGGTATCCGTTGGCAATGGTGGATGACGTCGGGTTTCCGGTGGCGGCAGTGATGGCTGACTTCGGGCTTCCGGTGACGATGATGGCAGACGTAGTGGTAACTTGAGAGGAAGAAGCTCGTTGAGCTGATGTACTTGCTGCTGTTTGTGTTGAACCAGATGTTGCGTGAATGTCATATGTAGTAGTTGGTGTATACGACGATGTACGGTGTGTGGCAGCAGATGTTGTTGTCTTTGTCTGGTTGTCTGAAGGATAAAGACTTCGCGTTAATGACATTTATAATAATAATAATAATAATAGTAATAATAATAATAATAGTTCATTTAGGAGGTCGGACAGATATTGAGGTGCACTTCCAGAGAGACATCTGAAGGCGAGAATGCAGAGTTTAAAAGTGATGCGCTGTGGAATGGGCAACCAGTGGAGGTCCTTCAACACAGGAGTGATGTGAGCTGACTTGGGTGAGAGAGTGACTATTCTTGCTGCTGTGTTCTGGACCCGTTGCAGTCTACCAATCTGGGATTTTGTTGCACCAGCAAAGAGGCTGTTGCAATAATCTAGTCTTGTCATCACCAATGAGAGAACAAGGATTATAGCTGACTCCTTTGTGAGAAGCTTTCGAATGTTTCCAATGTTTCGGAGGAGTAGGAAGCATGTCCTGCACAAGATGGTAATGTGCTGGTCCAATGACAGCTCTGGATCAACAGTCACGCCAAGGTCCTTAACACTGTTAGATAGTGGAACAGTGGTTTCGCCAAAGTGAAACGACTTGATGTTGGTCTGCTCTCGGCGAGGTGTTGTCCCTACCAGAAGACACTCCGTCTTGTCCTCATTTAGCTTCAGCTTGTTGGTGAACATCCATGACTTGATCTGGTCACAACACTCTGCCATGTGGTCCGTTATGAAGTTAGGGTTATGAAGCTGGGTGTCATCTGCATACAACTGTCGCGAGACTTGAAACTGGTCAATGAGAGTCCCGAGATCCTTTGTGTATAGTGTGAAAAGGACCGGTCCCAGTACAGATCCCTGAGGAAAACCACATTGGAGATGAACGTTGTCAGAAGAGCAACCATCAATGAATACAGCCTGATGACGATTTGTCAAGTAAGATGTGAACCAATCCAGCACTATCCCATCAATACCAAAGTTATTCCTGAGACGAGACAGAAGCCTGCTATGATCAATGGTGTCGAATGCGGCGCTGAGGTCGAGGAGGACCAATAAAGATGTCTCAAGTCATTAAACACACGGACAAGAGCTGTCTCAGTACTGTGGTCCTTACGGTAAGCCGACTGATATGGCTCGTAGAGGTCATGATGCATCAGATGCTGAGATAACCTGTCTCCCACTGCTCTCTCTCTATGACCTTGGACATGAAGGTAAGGTTGGATACAGGACGATAATTGATCACACGAAGATATACTGTCTTGATCATCTGTAGAATTTTCAATCATAGGTTTACGGATTCGCTCAATCTTATCGAAGAAAAATGATTGAAATGACTGAGCTATCTGCACAGAGTCTCCAAGATTTGGAAGTGGATTATGTGTCTCTTTACCAAGTAAGCTGAACATAAGTTGGTACAGTGAGTTTGGGTCATCCATACTGTCCCGGATCTTAGAGTTCATACAACGCTGTTTAGAACGCTTGATCTCACCTGTAACCCTGTTCCTTGCCTCACAGTAGATCTGTCTGTGAATCTCGAGATGAGATTTGCGCCATGTTCTTTCAGCTACTCTCCTGTGTGTTTTGGCCGAAATGATTTCAGGGGGTCATAATCCAAGTTGTTTCTGGTCGGCATGGTATCAATTTCACCTTCTCGGGAGCATGATGATCAAGCAACTCAAGAAGTACTTTGTTGTAAAGTTCAGCGTATTGGTCTGGGTCAGATGGCAGGGCCTGTAAAAGTTCTGAGGACATGAGGTCTTGACGGAAAGCTTCTTTATCCATCTTCTTCATGTTTCTGCACCTTATGTGTTTCTTAGGATGGGGAGGTCTTTCAGTATCGAGGTCAACTGTCATAGGTAGTGATCAGACACTTGAATGTCCTCAACACTAGTTCTGGTTACACACCTCACTGTGTTCTTAGTGAGCACCCAATCCAAGATATGACCACCCTTATGTGTGGTACCGTTCACTAGTTGAATGCAGTCTAAGGAGTCAAGAGGTTTTGACATATGGATAGTTTCAGTATTAGAAGGATTGTCAAAATGTATATTAAAATCTCCCATCACGATTAGCCTTGATCTTTCAACAACTTTCATCTCCATGAATGAGGAAAAATCTTGTAAAAACGTGTGACCATTCTTTCTTGACGGTGGGGGCGATACAATGCAACAAGGTTTGTTGTTGTTTTTCCCCGTGATAGTATGAAATCCAAAGTTTCAAAAGTTTCTGAGAACACTTTTGGCTTTGTAAGCGGCTTTACATTAAGGTGTGACTTATAGATAATTGCTTTTCCGCCACCACGACTTAGTCTTGGTTGATGCTGAAGCATGTAGCCATTTGGTGTCATAGCGGCCATCTTGGATTCATCACCTTGGTTAAACAACCAAGTTTCTGTCAAGATCATTAAATCAATGTCTCTGTCAAGAATTAAATCCAAAATTACCTCACATTTGTTGCGAGAAGACTGCACATTAAGTAAGCACACTTTCAGATTTGTTTGAACTTTAGAAATATTATAAGAGTTCAATTTTTTCTGACCTGTTTTAAGCCCAAGCAAGCCTTGCTTTTGTTTCCTTCTTCCTGATCGTTGCCCTCTTCTTTTACGTTTTCTCACCGATTTACTAGATTGCTGATTGGTGGCATTGATGTGTAACAATGGGCAGGGTGTTGTCCATACAATAGGTTGAAACCAAGAGTCTCCAATCAGGAGAAGTTCATCTCTGGTGTATGATACAAGCCTCCACTGTCCCATGTCCTGGCTTGGATCAATCACAGAACAATAGGTAGTCCTTTGTACTTGGTATGTGAGCCACAACTCACAGATTGAAAATACATGCAAAATTGCAACAATTTGCATCAAAAACAGTTTTTTCAGCAATATTTTCAACAACATTTTGACATCATTAGAAAGGAAATGTCATCATGTATATCCATGTAAAAGTTGTACACAACAGATGCCTCCTGCCACAGAAATCTGACAAAGTTTGAGGAGCAAACTGAAAGCCGTGCAGCCTGTGAGGCGCATGCTAAAACTTGATTGTTGTTTCAGATTTGATGTATCAAACTCGCGTTTAAAATAACACCACGTCGAGTAACAGCACATTTCCCATGACTCTGTTCTGTATATTTTGAGTTTCCTTCTGATATTCCACATTAGTGGTTAGAATTGAAAGTAGTGAGATGTCAAAATTGCAGTCCTATTTCTCAAATAAGATATTTCGTATCCCCTTACTGCACGATAATATACTTGCGCTAAGCCTGTCGCATTACTATCCTTCAATATACAGTTACTAAAGTAGTCCAAGCTTCTGGTGTTTTGCTGTTTACCTTTATGGACCTTTCTCTCACAGATGAAGGGCTTTGATGAAGTACAGTCATCCAGCCCCCACTCCAGATGGCCGCTGTCGCCCAGCTGCACACACCCACAGTAAACGCCAGCCGCTCTGGAACAAGACGTAGTTAATGACCCTTATCTAACGACCTATACCTCCCTCAAAACATGTGTTCACTACCACCCATTTATGGTTTCTCGCTTTCTCGCCTCAGAAATTTTAAGGCGAGGAAGCGATGGCCCTAATCAGCCACCATACACATTCCATATCTATCACAACACGTCCAATACCTCCGCCACAACTCGCCCGATACCTCCGCCACAACACGTCCAATACCTCCGCCACAAAACGTCCCATACCTCCGCCATAACACGTTCAATAGCTCCGCCACAACACGTCCTATACCTCCGCCACAACACGTCCAATACCTCCGCCACAACACGTCCAATACCTCCACCACATAACGTCCTATACCTCCGCCACAACACGTCCTATACCTCCGCCACAACACGTCCTATACCTCCGCCACAACACGTCCCATACCTCTGCCACAACACGTACACTACCTCCACCACAACACGTCCTATACCTCTGCCACAACACGTCCTATACCTCCGCCACAACACGTCCTATACCTCCACCACAACACGTCCTATACCTCCATCACAACACGTCCAATACCTCCACAACAACACGTCCAATACCTCCGCCACAACACGTCCGAAACCTCTGCCACAACACGTCCAATACCTCCGCCACAACACGTCCGATACCTCCGCCACAACACGTCCGATACCTCCACCACAACACGTCCAATACCTCCGCCACAACACGTCCAATACCTCTACCACAGCACGTCCAATACCTCTGCCACAACACGTCATATACCTCCACAACAACACGTCCCATACCTCCGCCATAACACGTTCAATACTTCCGCCACAACACGTCCTATATCTCCGCCACAACACGTCCTATACCTCCGCCATAACACGTTCAATACTTCCGCCACAACACGTCCTATACCTCCACCACAACACGTCCTATACCTCCACAACAACACGTCCTATACCTCCGCCACGACACGTCCTATACCTCCGCCACAACACGTCCTATACCTTCACCACAAAATCATCGTCCTATACTCCATCACAACACGTCCAATACTTCCGCCACAACACGTCCAATACCTCCGCCATAACACGTTCAATACCTCCGCCACAACACGTCCTATACCTCCGCCACAACACGTCCTATACCTCCACAACAACACGTCCTATACCTCCGCCACAACACGTCCTATACCTCCGCCACAAAACGTCCTATATCTCCGCCACATAACGTCCTATACCTCCATCACAACACGTCCAATACCTCCGCCACAACACGTCCAATACTTCCGCCACAACACGTCCGAAACCTCCACCAAAACACGTCGGATACCTCCAACACAACACGTCCAATACCTCCGCCATAACACGTTCAATACTTCCGCCACAACACGTCCTATACCTCCACCACAACACGTCCTATACCTCCATCACAACACGTCCAATACCTCCACAACAACACGTCCAATACCTCCGCCACAACACGTCCGAAACCTCTGCCACAACACGTCCATTACCTCCGCCACAACACGTCCTATACCTCCACCACAACACGTCCTATACCTCCATCACAACACGTCCAATACCTCCGCCACAACACGTCCAATACCTCCGCCACAACACGTCCTTTACCTCCGCCACAACACGTCCGAAACCTCTGCCACAACACGTCCAATACCTCCGCCACAACACGTCCGAAACCTCCGCCACAACACGTCCCATACCTCCCACACAACACGTCCAATACCTCCGCCACAACACGTCCTATACCTCCGCCACAACACGCCCTATACCTCCGCCACAACACGTCCTATACCTCCGCCACAACACGTCCACTACCTCCGCCACAACGCGTCCTATACCTCCACCACAACACGTCCTATATACCTCCGCCACAACACGTCCTATACCTCCGCCACAACACGTCCTATACCTCCACCACAACACGTCCTATACCTCCGCCACAACACGTCCAATACCTCCGCCACAACACGTCCAATACCTCTACCACAACACGTCCTATACCTCCGCCACAACACGTCATATACCTCCACAACAACACGTCCAATACCTCCGCCACAACACGTCCAATACCTCTACCACAACACGTCCAATACCTCTGCCACAACACGTCATATACCTCCACAACAACACGTCCCATACCTCCGCCATAACACGTTCAATACTTCCGCCACAACACGTCCTATATCTCCGCCACAACACGTCCTATACCTCCACAACAACACGTCCTATACCTCCGCCACGACACGTCCTATACCTCCGCCACAACACGTCCTATACCTTCACCACAACACGTCCTATACCTCCATCACAACACGTCCAATACCTCCGCCACAACACGTCCAATACCTCCGCCATAACACGTTCAATACCTCCGCCACAACACGTCCTATACCTCCGCCACAACACGTCCTATACCTCCACAACAACACGTCCTATACCTCCGCCACAACACGTCCTATACCTCCACCACAAAACGTCCTATATCTCCGCCACATAACGTCCTATACCTCCATCACAACACGTCCAATACCTCCGCCACAACACGTCCAATACCTCCGCCACAACACGTCCGAAACCTCCACCAAAACACGTCGGATACCTCCAACACAACACGTCCAATACCTCCGCCATAACACGTTCAATACTTCCGCCACAACACGTCCTATACCTCCACCACAACACGTCCTATACCTCCATCACAACACGTCCAATACCTCCACAACAACACGTCCAATACCTCCGCCACAACACGTCCGAAACCTCTGCCACAACACGTCCGAAACCTCTGCCACAACACGTCCAATACCTCCGCCACAACACGTCCGAAACCTCCGCCACAACACGTCCCATACCTCCCCACACAACACGTCCAATACCTCCGCCACAACACGTCCTATACCTCCGCCACAACACGCCCTATACCTCCGCCACAACACGTCCTATACCTCCGCCACAACACGTCCACTACCTCCGCCACAACGCGTCCTATACCTCCACCACAACACGTCCTATATACCTCCGCCACAACACGTCCTATACCTCCGCCACAACACGTCCTATACCTCCACCACAACACGTCCTATACCTCCGCCACAACACGTCCAATACCTCCGCCACAACACGTCCAATACCTCTACCACAACACGTCCTATACCTCCGCCACAACACGTCCAATACCTCCGTCATAACACGTTCAATAGCTCCGCCACAACACGTCCACTACCTCCGCCACAACGCGTCCTATACCTCCACCACAACACGTCCTATATACCTCCGCCACAACACGTCCTATACCTCCGCCACAACACGTCCTATACCTCCAACACATAACGTCCTATACCTCCGCCACAACACGTCCAATACCTCCGCCACAACACGTCCAATAATTCTACCACAACACGTCCTATACCTCCGCCACAACACGTCCAATACCTCCGTCATAACATCGTCTCAATAGCTCCGCCACAACACGTCCTATACCTCCGCCATAACACGTCCTATACCTCCACCTCAACATGTCCTATACCTCCGCCACAACACGTCCTATACCTCCGCCACAACACGTCCTATACCTCCGCCACAACACGTCCTATACTTCCACCACAACATCGTCCTATACCTCCGCCACAACACGTTCAATACTTCCGCCACAACACGTCCTATACCTCCGCCATAACGCGTTCAATACTTCCGCCACAACACGTCCTATTCTCCATCACAACACATCCAATACCTCTGCCACAACACGTCCAATACCTCTACCACAACACGTCCTATACCTCCGTCATAACACGTTCAATACTTCCGCCACAACACGTTCAATACCTCCACCACAACACGTCCTATACCTCCGCCATAACACGTCCTATACCTCCGCCACAACACGTCCTATATCTCCGCCACAACACGTCCTATACCTCCACCACAACACGTCCTATACCCGCCACAACACGTCCTATACCTCCGCCACAACACGTCCTATACCTCCGCCACAACACGTCCTATACCTCCGCCATAACACGCCCTATACCTCCACCACAACACGTCCTATATCTCCGCCACAACACGTCCTATACTCCACCACAAGTCCTATACCTCCGCCACAACACGTCCTATACCTCCACCACAACACGTCCTATACGTCCGCCACAACACGTCCTATACCTCCGCCACAACACGTCCTATACCTCCACCACAACACGTCCTATACGTCCGCCACAACACGTCCTATACCTCCGCCATAACACGTTCAATACTTCCGCCACAACACGTCCTATACCTCCGCCACAACACGCCCATACCTCCACAACAACACGTCCTATACCTCCACCACAACACGTCCTATACCTTCCACCACAACACGTCCAATACCTCCGCCACAACACGTCCCATACCTCCGCCATAACACGTTCAGTACTTCCGCCACAACACGTCCTATACCTCCGCCACAACACGTCCTATACCTCCACCACAACACGTCCTATACGTCCGCCACAACACGTCCTATACCTCCGCCATAACACGTTCAATACTTCCGCCACAACACGTCCTATACCTCCGCCACAACACGCCCATACCTCCACAACAACACGTCCTATACCTCCACCACAAAACGTCCTATATCTCCGCCACATAACGTCCTATACCTCCATCACAACACGTCCAATACCTCCGCCACAACACGTCCAATACCTCCGCCACAACACGTCCGAAACCTCCACCAAAACACGTCGGATACCTCCAACACAACACGTCCAATACCTCCGCCATAACACGTTCAATACTTCCGCCACAACACGTCCTATACCTCCACCACAACACGTCCTATACCTCCATCACAACACGTCCAATACCTCCACAACAACACGTCCAATACCTCCGCCACAACACGTCCGAAACCTCTGCCACAACACGTCCGAAACCTCTGCCACAACACGTCCAATACTTCCGCCACAACACGTCCGAAACCTCCGCTACAACACGTCCCATACCTCCCCACACAACACGTCCAATACTTCCGCCACAACACGTCCTATACCTCCGCCACAACACGCCCTATACCTCCGCCACAACACGTCCTATACCTCCGCCACAACACGTCCACTACTCCGCCACAACGCGTCCTATACCTCCACCACAACACGTCCTATATACCTCCGCCACAACACGTCCTATACCTCCGCCACAACACGTCCTATACCTCCACCACAACACGTCCTATACCTCCGCCACAACACGTCCAATACCTCCGCCACAACACGTCCAATACTCTACCACAACACGTCCTATACCTCCGCCACAACACGTCCAATACCTCCGTCATAACACGTTCAATAGCTCCGCCACAACACGTCCACTACCTCCGCCACAACGCGTCCTATACCTCCACCACAACACGTCCTATATACCTCCGCCACAACACGTCCTATACCTCCGCCACAACACGTCCTATACCTCCACCACATAACGTCCTATACCTCCGCCACAACACGTCCAATACCTCCGCCACAACACGTCCAATACCTCTACCACAACACGTCCTATACCTCCGCCACAACACGTCCAATACCTCCGTCATAACACGTTCAATAGCTCCGCCACAACACGTCCTATACCTCCGCCATAACACGTCCTATACCTCCACCTCAACACGTCCTATACCTCCGCCACAACACGTCCTATACCTCCGCCACAACACGTCCTATACCTCCGCCACAACACGTCCTATACCTCCACCACAACACGTCCTATACCTCCGCCACAACACGTTCAATACTTCCGCCACAACACGTCCTATACCTCCGCCATAACGCGTTCAATACTTCCGCCACAACACGTCCTATTCCTCCATCACAACACATCCAATACCTCTGCCACAACACGTCCAATACCTCTACCACAACACGTCCTATACCTCCGTCATAACACGTTCAATACTTCCGCCACAACACGTTCAATACCTCCACCACAACACGTCCTATACCTCCGCCATAACACGTCCTATACCTCCGCCACAACACGTCCTATATCTCCGCCACAACACGTCCTATACCTCCACCACAACAAGTCCTATACCTCCGCCACAACACGTCCTATACCTCCGCCACAACACGTCCTATACCTCCGCCACAACACGTCCTATACCTCCGCCATAACACGCCCTATACCTCCACCACAACACGTCCTATATCTCCGCCACAACACGTCCTATACCTCCACCACAAGTCCTATACCTCCGCCACAACACGTCCTATACCTCCACCACAACACGTCCTATACGTCCGCCACAACACGTCCTATACCTCCACCACAACACGTCCTATACCTCCACCACAACACGTCCTATACGTCCGCCACAACACGTCCTATACCTCCGCCATAACACGTTCAATACTTCCGCCACAACACGTCCTATACCTCCGCCACAACACGCCCATACCTCCACAACAACACGTCCTATACCTCCACCACAACACGTCCTATACCTCCACCACAACACGTCCAATACCTCCGCCACAACACGTCCTATACCTCCGCCATAACACGTTCAGTACTTCCGCCACAACACGTCCTATACCTCCGCCACAACACGTCCTATACCTCCACCACAACACGTCCTATACGTCCGCCACAACACGTCCTATACCTCCGCCATAACACGTTCAATACTTCCGCCACAACACGTCCTATACCTCCGCCACAACACGCCCATACCTCCACAACAACACGTCCTATACCTCCACCACAACACGTCCTATACCTCCACCACAACACGTCCTATACCTCCGCCACAACACGTCCTATACCTCCGCCATAACACGTTCAGTACTTCCGCCACAACACGTCCTATACCTCCACCACAACACGTCCACTACCTCCGCCACAACACGTCCAATACCTCCGCCACAACACGTCCAATACCTCCGCCATAACACGTCCAATACCGCCGCCACAACACGTCCTATACATCCGCCACACCACGTCAAATACAACCAATATAAAATGATATACATGGAAATGTAGGACCATCAGAGACTGTGTTTATGTACACTTTGGTGGTTTCCCAGAACGGCATCTCAACTTGGAATCATGTTGTGACTTGGAGTGGACGTACCCTGGGCTCGCTGCATTCAGGATCGGGAACCGGCTGGAGTCGGTCTCTCTAAGGCCATCCAACCAGATTAGATCAGATAAGGGCGGTCGAAACTGGATTCCCACCCAGTAGGAGACGTTTAGACTGAAATGATAAAACGGTAATCAGGGATAAGGGATGTGAAAATTCGAAACCTATGGGTTTTGTAGGAATGGATATAGCAGCATGTATGAAATAACTATCAAGCATACATTAATATCCTTACAATATGGTGTTTACAGCTGTGTTTGTAAATTATATCGTAAGTCTCTACTTGTGTGTGATGAGTATAGTGTAAGCCTCTACCTGTGTCTTGCGACTAAAGTCCCGTGAAGGCCCGGGTTAGAATATTGGCCTTCAGTAACCCATGCTTATCGAAAGAGGCGACTAACGGGATCGGGTGCGCAGATCGATGCTCATGTTGTTGATCATTGGATTATCTGGTCCAGACTCGATTATTTACAGACCGCCGCCATATAGCTGGAATATTGCTGAGTGTGGCGTAAAAGTAAACTCACTCACTCACTTGCGACTAAAATATCATCTTCTAACTGTGTCTGAAGATTTGAGTGTGGAGATGACACTCTCAGACTATCCGAGTCACTGTCAAACGATATTTGAGTGTGGAATGTACAGTATCAGATTATCTCCACTTATACTGTGGAGATTACATTATCAGTTTGACGTTACAGTATCAGTCTGAGGTTACAATGTCAGCCTCACTGCAGCTTGGTTCTCAGTGTGGAAGACTCCGCTGGGTTGGGGAAGGAGGCGAGGTCGGTGTGAAACTGGTGACATGTGAGTCTTGTATTCGGCCAGGAGTCGTCGGCATCGCTGAACCAGAGGCAGTGGTGCCAGTCACGGAGGGCGGCGCAGTCTACACGTGATTGGAAGGAATTGTAAGGTACTGATTTTAAGGTGAGGCATTGTATGGTTCTGAGTTAAAGATGAGGCATTGTAAGGTGCTGAGTTAAAGATGATGCATTGTAAGGTGCTGAGTTAAAGATGAGGCATTGTAAGGTGCTGAGTTAAAAAAGATGAGGCATTGTAAGGTACTGAGTTAAAGATGAGGAATGGTAAGGTACTGAGTTAACGATGAGAATAGTAAGGTTCTGAGTTAACTATGAGGCATATTGTAAGGTGCTGAGTTACAGATGAGGAATTGTAAGGTGCTGAGTTAAAGATGAGGAATAGTAAAGTACTGAGTTAACGATGAGGAATTGTAAGGTTCTGAGTTAACTATGAGGCATATTGTAAGGTGCTGAGTTACAGATGAGGATCTGTAAGGTTCTGAGTTAAAGATGAGGCATTGTAAGGTGCTGAGTTAAAGATGATGCATTGTAACGTGCTGAGTTAAAGATGAGGCACTGTAAGGTGCTGAGTTAAAGATGAGGCATTGTAAGGTACTGAGTTAAAGATGAGGAATGGTAAGGTACTGAGTTAAAGATGAGGAATTGTAAGGTTCTGAGTATACGATGAGGCATTGTAAGGTGCTGAGTTAAAGATGAGGCATTGTAAGGTACTGAGTTAAAGATGAGGAATGGTAAGGTACTGAGTTAACGATGAGAATAGTAAGGTTCTGAGTTAACGATGAGGCATATTGTAAGGTGCTGAGTTACAGATGAGGAATTGTAAGGTGCTGAGTTAACGATGAGGAATAGTAAAGTTCTGAGTTAACGATGAGGAATTCTAAGGTTCTGAGTTAAAGATGAGGATCTGTAAGGTACGGAGTTCAAGATGAGGAATTGCAAGGTTCTGAGTTAAAGATATACAATCAGCTGTAGACGTATACTGACATACATTTGTGATTCTCTGACTTCATTTTCTCTTGTTACATGATATATAGTGCCTGATACACACACTGATAATGCGGAATTATTTCAAAAACGACGAGAAATCACATTCATGATCTCACAATCACACAGGACACCTGTAATCCCCTCCTTGACAATAACTATTGAACTTTTGTGTACTGCTGTGCGGTTTTCCATACACCCCTCCCCCCCAAAAAACAAACCAAAACAACAACTAAAAGAAATATCAAAAATATTTAAAAAAACAATAACAAAACAAAAAACATAAACAAAAGACAACAACAAAAAACATTGGAATATTTCTGCGGCATCCAAAGTAAACAATTACGTCTGTGAAAAATATTTTCAAATTGTGACAAGATACATTCTCGCAGCCTCAGTACCAGCGGTATACGTACCTACAGGGTTGGCCTCACATATGAACTGTAATCTACTGTCACACGTCCGTGCTCCGAGAATTCCGTTGTTGGAGATCGTCCCGCACAGTGGCGTAGCAGACGGATTTGTCACTGGAAGCGGAGTGTGTTTTATATCAGTCATTAGGACAGAAATACAGACATATGGGATTCAGCTGTCGTCAAGGTCACATGTTCACATCCGTTTTAATTCAGTGCGTCTCAGTCCCTACAGATGGATACTGTTTTATTTTCTTTCATCACTTATATTAATTATATATATATGTTATACAAATACCTCTGTGTGTGTGCGTGCGTACGTACGTGCGTTTGTTCTGAGCGAACATGACCTACCTGACAGTGCTGAGAAACTAGACAGTGTCGGTGCGTTCCCACTTCGCCATTTCCAGTCTCCACTCGCCTGAAACATCGACCTTCTGCCTGAGTTAACGCTGATATAGACAACTACTTTGTGCATGTCCTGTGTAATAATGACATATATGTGGGGCATGGCGACGTAAGTAACATAACATGGTGCCACGGAAGCGACATATACCCTTGCCAGCTGGTGACTATACCTTATGACACAGGTGGCGTATACCTCGTGACTATACGTTATGACATAGGTGACGTATACCTCGTGACATATACGTTCGTGACATAAGGTGACGCCAGGTGACGTACACCTCGTGACATATGACGTTGACTCATACGTCGTGACTATACCTTATGACATAGGTGACGTTCACCTCGTGACTTTGGTGACTCATACGTCGTGACTATTCCTTATGACATAGGTGACGTATACCTCGTGACTTTGGTGACTCATACGTTGTGACTATACGTTATGACATAGGTGACGTAAACCTCGTTACTTTGGTGACTCATTCGTCGTGATTATACCTTATGACATAGGTGACGTTCACCTCGTGACTTTGGTGACTCATACGTCGTGACTATACCTTATGACATAGGTGACGTATACCTCGTGACTTTGGTGACTCATACGTCGTGACTATACGTTATGACATAGGTGACGTATACCTCGTTACTTTGGTGACTCATACGTCGTGATTATACCTTATGACATAGGTGACGTATACCTCGTGACTTTGGTGACTCATACGTCGTGACTCTACCTTTACGACATACCTCGTGACATAAGGTGACATACGTCATACGTCGTGACATGCCTTGTGATTTGACGTTCAACTCGTGACATAGGTGACGTATACGTCGTGACTATACCTTGTGACATAAGGTGACGTGTATCTCGTGACTTTGGTGACTCATACGTCGTGACTATACGTTATGACATAGGTGACGTATACCTCGTTACATAGGTGACTCATACGTCGTGACTATACCTTATGACAAAGGTGACGTATGCGTCGTGACAGGTGACTCATACGTCGTGACTCTACCTTATGACATAGGTGACGTGTACCTCGTGACTAAGATGACTCATACGTCGTGACTCTACCTTATGACATAGGTGACGTATACCTCGTGACTTTGGTGACTCGTACCCTTTGAGTGGCCGTTCTCCTCGTGACGTATGCCCGTTGACGTAAGTAACGTCTATCATTAAACTGTATCTCGACACAGAAGTGTTATAAGTACCCAGCCATTATAGTGACAGTTTCATAACAAAAGACAGGTTATCGTCATTTACATAAAACAAGCTCTTTTTAGCGTCTAATTGTAATCTATTTTCGATAAAAGAAACTGATCTAGGTATAAACAATATTTCAAATTGATATAGAGTTTCCTTACCTCCTGATATATACCTATCCACATCTCTGCCGGGCCAGGCAGAAGATTCAGCAGAAAATTCTGTTCCCTTCTTTCGGCTATTTCGACAAGATTCCCGCCATTTTGGTGACATGTGGTCTGAGATGTGTTCCACGTGGACTGGTTGGCGCTCTGGAACACCCTGTAGCACGACCCTCTCCAGTAGCTCCAATCCCGGAAACATGCACTGGATGGCCCTGTGAAGGAACAGAGTAGTATCATCAGACAACTGTGTCATGCACCTGCCGCTGTGGGCTTACATGTGTAACATCACAAGGTTACAAACAACTACATCCAAGTAACATCGCCGTTTGCTACTCAACTTCACCTTTGCCTTAAGCCATTCACCAGCTGTTTTAACAAAATGGTTTAACACGTCAGAATTTAATTATGTAAACCCAAAATTTCCAGAAACTCTCACTGTGGTCAGTTTCTGACAAATTATTTGACCATGAGTGAGGTAGTTTTAAATTTTGAATTTTTGAATTTTGTCAAATCCTTTGTTAGAAACTGGCCACAGAGTGGAGAGTTTCTGGACTTTTAGGTTTCAATAATTAAATTGTGACGTCTTGTTTGCTTTATACCAACGGAAAAAGGTAGCTGCTTTATATAAACCGTTGTAGATACTTTAAATAGCTCATCGAAAATAATGGCAAAATTTCGACATTCGTCCGATCTGTGTTTACCAAAACTCTTTTATTGAGGAATGCCATATCTGGTAACAAGATATAGAGACAAAAAGCGCAGATAACAATGCCAATATGGAGTGTTACCACCAGATGCATTGATGCAGTGACAGCGTATTAAAAATGGCCTTGTGAAATTGCAGATCATCTTAGACATATTCTGTTTCTCCATCTCATCCTAGACATATTCTGTGAGGGAGGGGGTCTAGAGAAATAGGCCGGTTCGTGAAAGACTGACGGGAAATATTGATTAAAGCACAGAAATGCACGACAGTTAGGGCAGGGAACACAAAGACATTACAGCAGACACCCTCAGATACAGGTTATTTCAGATCTGGCAAAGGAGTACTTGCTTTGTTTAGAGTTTCACACAGAAAGACATTACCTGAAGATATTTAAATTGTATATTTTTCAACACAGCCCCCTTCCACAATTATTCACTTTTGCCAACTATGCAGGAGGGATATTTTCCCAGTTAATCCACAAAGTCTCTCATCATGTTTCATGAGAGTCAGGTCAGAATAAGGTGGGTGGTGAAGGAGTTCAAATCCACTCTCGTGGAAGGTAGCCGTGATACTGCAGGGGCTTATGTAGCAAAAATGCTTTCCGTGGGAAGTGCATGTTAATTTTTGAAACCACTGATGATTGTAATCAGTATTGCATATGAATCCAGAAAAACATGGTTCCATTTTTTCTGATGGCTATAAGTGTCATTCTGAGGTAACTGAACATCGGTACCCATAATCGAGCTGCAACACCAATGTGAGAAAAATATATTTTTATAAACCTATCACAACATAGGCATGTAGTATATCAAAATGTACGTTGTGATATGTCTTTTACAACTACCATTATATACCATGAATCTCAATAATATATGTATGCATAATAATCAATATGATCATAATTGCTTCTGCCAAAACCGAAGGTTTGTTGCAGAGGATATGCATTCAACCCTGTTTGTGTGTGTGTATGTATGTGTTAGCATCTTTTCTCAAAAACTACGAGATGGATTTCAATGAAACTTACTGGATCTCTCGGGTATGTCCCAAGGACAAATCAATTAGATGGTGCAGAAAGTATACTCTTCAAAAAAATAGAAACGCAACAGTAAAATATTATTCAGTTATGTAAATCAACGAAAATATACGGTGCAGCATTGAAATTATGTAGAGCAATACATTGGTATCTCGTGCACATTTCACAAGAATGATAGTCATTATAGTCATTACTGCTGTCCACGAGGTGACGTTCATGTTACTACCTTGTATGACCATTTTTTACTGCTAGAACTACACGACACCTCCATGACACAGATTGAATAAGTTGTTGGATGTTTCGTTGTGGAATCCTTCTCCATTCCTCCTGCAGCATACTGTTAAAGCCTCAATGGCGGATTACGACGTTGACGTGCACGTTTATGTATCTGATCCCACAGGTAATCAATTGGTTTCAAATCCGGAAATCTGGAGATGAGGAGATGTGGGGTGGGGGTGGGGGGGGGGCATTGATGTTGTTATTGGCCAGATAGTTCACTGTAGCACGTGCTGTGTGAGGACTGGTGTTGTCCTGTTGAAGCAGCTCCCTTTGGCGGTCGACAAGGCGATGCATGTGAAGGTAGAGAATTTGGTCGATATATCGAGCGGCCTTAAGAATACCTTGGACGAGCAACAATTCCGATCTGCAGGTGTATGAGATTGCTCCCCACATCATCACACCATCGCAACCAAATCTGTTCACTTGCCTGCTGCAGGTCGATGCAAAACGTTCATTGCGTGGTCTGTAGACACGTTGTCTTCCGTCACGTCGCTTGAGGGGATACCGCGATTCATCACTGAACCATATGTGCTTCCAGCTTCAAAGGTTCCATGGCTGCACCGCGTTACACCCCTGACTCGCGGACGTTGATGTAATCATGCCAGAAAGGGGGCAACTTTTGCACGTCTGGCACGCAGGAACCGTCTCCTACGTCTCGCAGACGGTTCCTGATTGTCTTGTCGGACATTCTCCGAGCTCCAAACCGTTCTTGTGCTGTGTCCCGGGCGGAACGATGGCAGTCATGTACTTGGGTTACCCGGATGTAGCGATCTTGGGCTGGTGTGGTGACTCATGGTCATTTGTCGAAATGGAACGATCCCACAAACGAGCTATTGTGCTGAGATGAATGCTGAAGGTCCTCGCCACGACACTCTTGGATCCGCCAGCTTGTAATTGTCAATGGCAATATTTCGGTGGGCACCGTTGAGACGTCCCATTTTCTCATCCAGTATTTGCAAGGGTCTTGGATGAATTTGCGAGATGCATTTGGTTCTTTTTTATAGTCATATGTTGCACTCATGCTTTGCACATGAAAAGCAATAATTGTTACTTTCGGTTGTGTTCCATAACAGTCAAGTTCATCATGACTATCATGATCGATAAAACCATTCAAAATCGTTTATGGTTGCATTCGCTCACGCATGTTCTTCTAAACCATACCAACAACAATATTCAACCCTCAAAGCATGCTTAATTTGACATATCTGTACAAACTTTCGATCGTTATTTTCAAAATTTATTTTGCGTTTTTTTTAAGAGAGTATGTTAAAATACATGAGCACAGAGGTACTTTGAAAATAATCGCAATGTTAAATAGATGGAGAATATGAATAATATCTCAAAACGT